CCAGTAACACGCAAATACCAGGACCCTGAAACTGAAGCAGCTGAATGGAATACAGTCTACATATAATTTACATTTTTACAACTGTATCCTAAATGTTATTATTTACACGTTTCCTACTCTAGTGTCGTCTGTGGAAAAGGCCTGTTCTCATTCTAGAGTTTAAATAAAAAATAAAAAATGTAAGTAAAGTAATTTCACTGTAACCTAGAACAAACTTTGCTTCATCAGGAATACATATTTATTTGTTCGGGACTATTCAGTAGCCGATTAACGGTGTATTTGGATTCAAGAGTTATGTTTCACTCAAGAAACAGGGCAATTTGTCCAAAAATAATAATAATAATAAGTGGATTACAGTCAACTCTGTAACAGATGTACATTCTGTACATTTTGATAAGCACTCTTGGCAATATGTCTTATCACATACTGCTGATTGCCACCTTGAATTAGAGTGGACATACTTAAAGGTGGGGTAGGTAATTTTGGAGAAACCAGCTCGAGTGCGCTAGAATTTGAAAATACACAACCGGAAAAAATCTGCCCCTTCCTTCAGACTTCCTTCCTCCAACACACACGAACGCGCACATGACCAATGAGGGCACGAGATAAGTTTGTGCACAGATGGAAGGCTGACAGGCAGGTAGGCCATCCAGTTATTTTAGCCGGCCCGGCTCAGATGATTGGTCGTGCTTTTTACAGTACTACGGCTTCCACAGATGACATTTTTTTATGGATTTTTTGTCAAAGCATTTAATATATTCATTGCTATCGGGATGTTAAGAGCATTCCATGGAATATAACAAAGTGTTTCTGAAGTGAATTACATACCCCACCTTTAAGATGCAAAAATGTGTTCATTTAAATCTAGTGGTGTTTTTGGTTTTTAGCTGATTGCATATAATTGAGAACTCTGATGTTTAGAAAATAAGTTTGATGTTTACCAAACATAGGTGAGATTTAAAAGCCCTGATTGGCAGATTTAGCCCAGCTAGCTGTTTTAGCTTCTTCCAAGTGTTAAAGCTAAGCTAACAGGCTGCTGGTCGTGGCTTTACAGTAAACACGCAAAAACAAAAGTGATAACCATCATCTTTTCTTACTTTATCTAGTGTTTTCCCACAAAAACTATTAAAAAAAAAACTGGGTATATGCATTGTGTATTTCTTTAACTTATTGGTTATTGACACCCTCCACCCAAAACTGCTCTTTTATTAAGCAATAAACCTGAAATGTGCAATATAAAGACGGTGCTATGCCCACTTTACGTAAAAAAATTATATTTTCATAAATGTCCCAATCATTTTTATTGTGGTCGCAATATTTTAATATGCTATTTATGTCACTTAGTTTGACTTAAATTGCTGCTACACATTTCTTTAGCCATGGTTGTTTACTCTTTTCTTATGCATGCCTTTTTTCCCTGCGATGCCACTTTTGCTGTAACACTGTAAATGTCCTCGCTGTGGGACTGATAAAGGAATTCAGATTCGAACAGAAATTGATATTTACCATCTCATCCTCCAGTCCCTGGTTTATAATAGTCGGCTCTTTCGTCTTCATTCTGTCTGAAGTTCAACAACTGAGAAGAAAAAACGAAGAGAGATCATTTTCTTTACTGGAACTCCAATGGGTGGTTTACTCGCTGACGCTTTGTTATCACAGAAGTCTCTACTCTGCTCTGGTCAGCAAACATGTTGCAATGCTAATAACGGTCAAGGACTTGAAATGGCCAAGTTGAATAACTTTGCAAACTGAAAATAAACCCCAAAAAACAGAAGTGAATATTCCAGTAATCCTCACAAAAGACTAACAGACGTTTGTTTAGCGTTCAACATAGTAACACCATTGAGTAAACCTTATCTACCTGGTATTAATCCGGAGGAAAAGATATTCCCTATCTTCATACCAGTCACGTCTTGAGACTTTGTGAAAAGCTTCTGGTACATTCATTGTCTTGTTTTTGAAACCTTTTAGATATTGTCCACATACATTTCCTGGAATATTAGCTGAGTCAATAGTTGAAATACGGCGTTACTCTGGCTTGATTGCATTGATTTGATTGAGTGCACTTCTGTAGGACTTAACTGAGCCTTTTAACACACCGACATGTCGACTCACTGACAACTTTATTGACACATTAGTGCGACACTCCTAGATGTGAAGCATTGATCCAGGACAGGATGGGCCGTAAAACATGGAAACCTTTGCACCATGCAAATGTTAACGCTCAATAACTGTCACACCTACAGTAATGTTTGACTCACAGCCAAGCACTATCATGTATGAGGGCGTCTGGTATTTTACATCAATCCTGATATACCGGTATAGATGATAACTGTGATATTTACATGTATAGATTTATGATAAGACATTATTTTATCGAGTGCTTCACTATTCTTTTTAGCATTGTTAAACTGTCTCCTGCCGTGTTTAAGGATCGTTTTGACCAATGTTAGGCTCTACGTGCCTCTTTCACATCTATATATCACTGAACTCCGCTCCCGTACTTATTTTGAGAAACTTGGACACAGGTATTTTTCTGTTCCACAAGCCCGGCTGGAAAAAATGATACTTTATTGGAGATTTCCAGATTTAACTTAAGTTTCTATTGCCTTTTAACTTACTATTATTTCTTTAAAAAACGAAATGGTCACCTTTCTCTACACTATACTGTTTATTTATACACAAAAGTGTGTGATTTGTTTTCATTTAAGACTGCTTGATCATTTAGGGCTTGTATGTCGTTATTTAGCTGTCTTTGTGAAACACATTATAACTTGAATATGGATAATTGCTCTTTAAATAAAGATTACAAATACCAAATGTAATAGTTATTTTGTGCACTTCTGTACAGCTATTGTTAAAAAAGTAAATTGAATTTGACTGATATTTGGGGGGGTTTCTGTAGATTAAGCGATAATATTGATAGTATGCATTAATTGGGCCAAGATAATGCAATTAAATCTTATATCAGAAAAGTCCAGCTCCAAATTCATATTTTAGACACTTCCTCCACAATTAATATGAAACTTTATTAAATTACATTGATATAACTTTTCAAAGAGAAAACCAATCGTCCATGACAAATCTAACAGGCTTCTATGGTCTGATGAGACAAAAGCTTTTTCACCATCCCTCTTGTGGTGGCAGCATCATGCAGTAAAATAAAGTAAATATTGCAGCATATAAATAAATAGAAATCCTGTTGGAAACACTGCTGCAGTCTGCAAGCCAACAGGGACTTTGGATAAGATTTATTTTCCAGCCGGACAAAGACTCCAAACATAAAGCCACAGCTACACCGGGCTGGCTTCAAAACAACTATGTAACAGTCCTAGAGCAGCAAAGGTCCAGATCCCAATCCAGAAACTGTGGCACTGGGGTCCCCATTGCTACCTGACATAACTTTATAAACAAGTTTTTACATGACAAATAACAGATGTGCAAACTTATATACATGGACTCAACTCACGCCTCCCCTAAATAATGTGCATTTTTTCCAACTTAATTTACAATTGGCACACTGACATTATATTTATTAGAACTGCCTAGTTGATTGATCAATTCATCGGATATTTTGGTCTTTAGTCAATTTAGAGTTAGTTTGTTGATTAGTCACAATTCAAATTGTATATTTTTCTCATGCCGAGTTTTTTTCTTTTTTGTTCTACCTTTATTTATCCAGATTGTCCCTTGAGATCATAGATCTCTTTTTCAAGGGAGACCTGCAGCAATTAGGTACATGGTACATGAAACATAAAAAAAGTTACCTTTTTTTTCAAGAAATGATGACATTAACCTGCTTGCAGCTAAAACATTAAGGTTATGGACACAAATGCATGAATAATTGTAATGCTAGAACATTCCAGTAGCCTACAGCTCTATTATTAAAGTAATATAATAATTATTCTGTAATGGGCCATTCTGCATAGTATTATTCTTTGACTTTTAGTAGTTTTAAGTATAATATGAGGCCAAGAGTGTTGTGGCTTTGTATACCATGAATGTACGACTCGTGTACTTGTTACAGTATTTTACACTGTAGCACCTACCACTTCCATCACTTTCCAACAAATCCCACTAAACAAAACAAACTCAAAGTTATTTAACCTGAAGTTAAAGGGTAGAGTTTTTACAGATACTTACGTAAACATGTTTAAAATGCGAAAAGGGAGAAAAAGCTTAAGTTAGAAGTTTCCTGTCAGAGAGAAAAACAAACATTCCCAGTTTCAACAGTATTGCATCACCAAACAGTGAATGAGGAGCCATTTGCAGTCGCTGTTTGACACTTTTGTTACAAAGTTGTTTCTGTTTCGCAAGTTCCTTGTTGAGCTCCTTTACCTTAACATGAGACTGAAAATGAACATAAACACCGTGTGAAAAACCTCGAATTCACGCGAATTAACAACTTACCGACACTTTTCTCTTCTCAATCAATGCACGAGACGTTGCATAGTCAGGTGAGCTAACGGTTGCATCAAAAGTTAGCTCACGTGCCCCGTTCAGCAGCCTAGCAACACTGGAGATCGAACATGTGTCTGCAGACACGCGCCAACACAACACAGCTCCACGCCGCGCGGAGACAGGACCGTCCCAAACCGGTCCATTCAGAAGGAAGTGAGGAAAACAGGATGTGAGGTCACTAAAGGACACCGGGTTTTGGATTAGTTGCTGCAAATTGCAACAAATCGAAGTGTGGCGACGTGTGCAAGAGGGGGGAGAGGGTTGAAGATATGCAACAGTTCCCATTAGAGCAGATACAAACGGGTTATAGCTGACGCGGGTTCGAGCCATTCCTCAATAAAAGAAAACCTTGCAAAACATAAATAAAGGGGGAATACTGCTTAATTTAGTCATTAGCAGGAGGACCTGGCATGTTTAGCTAGGAGTTATTTCATGTCAGTGGCTGAGAAGTGTTCAGTGACTTGGCTGAGATTTTAGTCCTAGCATAACCTTTTGGTTCTTCACTACAGATGTTACAACAAACTCAAATACACAGCTGGTGGGGGATTAAAATATAGTTTATCTTCACAATTCATCTTTTAACAACAACATTTGATAACAAGTTGGAGTTTTAACATCTGTTCATAAAAGTTATGAAGTGGAAGGTTTAAAGTCAAATATATGATCATCTACAAGGTGTTACGTGTCTTACAAACAGGTAGGACTAACAATGCTCATTACATTTTCACAACCTTACATAATCAAAATAACTGGACAGTTTTTAGATTAATCTCTGTATAACTTTTCCCAGTCCAGTTAGCCTTTATTTTCAACTTCTTTAACAGCATCCTGTGGCGCGACAGCTCCAGATTTTTTACCTGAAGGAGAAACAAGGCAGAAAAATTGCTTTATTTACACAAGAAACATCAAGCTAAACCAGTCAATAATCAATATAAGACAGTAAATTAAAGTTGCACAAAAAACTATCAAACCAGCCCTCTAATGACAATGAACAACATGAGCAAGCAACAGCTTTATACTAACAACGGACTGGCTTATCTAAAGCTAGTTGAGTAGCCCTTTAAATGTTTTGGCTCCATGAAACCTGATGTACTTATGATTCTGTTTTCTTCAAGTTTGTATCTTCTTGGTCGAATGCACTTATTGTAAGTCGCTTTGGATAAAAGCGTCAGCTAAATGCAATGTAATGTAAAAACAGCTGAATATTTCAAAGCGTCATATGCAAGGACAGCACAAATATTTTCTAAAAGAAGCTGCCAAAAAAGAAGGTGCATTGCATTTACTTAAAGGTCCCATGTCATGGCCATTTCTACTGATCATAATTCCATTGTTGAGGTATACTAAAATACATTTATATTGTGCCATTTTCCAAACTCACATTGGTTTCTCATACAGCATCTCTGTATAGTATGTGTATTCACTCTGTCCTAAACGGCTTGTTGGAGCTCCTGCCCCCCCCCCCCTCCCTGTGAGCCCAGTGGCCGTGCGAGACACAGCGAAACCCAGCCCGAAACACACACACCCGCAGCCTGGCTGGGAGTTTGTGTGTGTGCCCAGGCTGAGTTCCGCGGTGTCTCGCCGACCCCACACCAGTGAGCCAGCTCAGTGTCCCGCTCCTCGCAGCAGCGAGCATCGCAACGTCCCGCCGAGTGTGTGTGTGTGAGGAAGTCCGCAGATTGGTCCAAACGTAACGGCTCCGCAGATTGGTCCATTTATGCGGAGTCGTTACGTTACTTCAATATACCCGAAATACGTCACTATACCAAAGAAGTAAACAATGGAAAAAGATAAATCCCCAACGAGGCGTTCTGGGGCAGCATAGACAGGTCTTTTCTGTGTTAGAGTTTTACTCGCTACAGGGTGTACTTTGAGGGTTTGTGACTTTGCAGACCGTTTACATGCAGAAAAACCTTCATAACACACAAGGGGACGGGTAATAACCGGAAAAGCATGACATGGGACCTTTAAAGCTTTTGTAGGCCTAATCATTTTTTGGCCACTTGTGAGAGGTGCAACATGTTGTAAACATTTGCTTATTTAAACATAGAAGACACAGCAACATTAACATCTATAAAGTTGTGTTTGAATGGTATTCCAATATTCTTTTAGCTTAGTTTTTGGTGAAGGCAATTATCTGGCTCTTTAGCTGTGAAATGTAAATTGCAAATATGTCTATCAGGGTTTTCTAATCTTGTGAATACCGTTTTTCTTTTACCATTATGTCATACTTCATATGTCCACAAAAAGATGTTACAGATGCGCCTAGGAAATAATCTTTTTACAAACTAAACAACCAAACACTATGCTGCTCGGTAAACACGGATACATTAGCCCAGAATTTTTCCCATTTGTCCAGAACATAGAAATATCCCAGGACTAGCTGGAACAGGACTAACTTGTTTGCTACTTGGTTCTGGATAGAAGGCATAAAGTGTGTTTGAGTTGAGGTTGAAAGCAGAGATTTAGCCAGTTACTAGACAAAAAAACAACGCGTAAAAAGATGCTCTGCAAATGAGGGGAACTGCGGATCATTCATTGCATGTTTGTCGACTAGTCCCCTTTGACGTTATCAGTAGCCACTAAATCCAGTGTTACTATACAAAAATAACACTAATTAGATCTTTCTTCTTCTCAAATTCTTCTTATAAGCATACAACTACAATGAGACCTTGATACACGCCAGTTGAACTCAAACATTACCTTTCTTTTTTCCTTTCCCACGTTTGCGTTTGCCTGTCTGACCTGCAGACTTTTCACCAGGTGCCTGGGGGGGCTTGGTGGGGAGTTTCAGACCTTTCGCAGCCTGGACCTTTGCATAAGTCACCGTCACTTTGCTGCCATCGATCTCACAGTCCTCCATGGTTTCTTTACCAGCTTTGCAGTTGTCTTCACTCTCAAACTCTACAAAACCAAACCTGAAAAACATTTCAATTGACAAGTCAGTGTAAATTGGACTTCCAGAATAATCGAAAAAACATGTTAAAATGATGACAAAAAAAACGTGAGGCTACCCACTTTTTTGAAACTCCTGTCTCTTTATCTACAGTGACCCTTGCACTTGAAGCTCCTTCAAAAGCACTTTTAAGAGTCTCGGCAGTCGTCTTCTCAGCGAGGCCAATCACGATCAAAGTTTTCAATGAGTCTAAAGAGGGGGAAAAACACATTGTGGCTTTGGAAACACTTCCAATGTATGATTTGCAGTAACTAAGGCGACACCAACATGGATAATAGAACATAAACAATCCCACATACATTTTGCCTGTGCAGACCCTTCTTTCTTGTCGCAAAATTGTACTTTGATCTCCCTTTTTGAAATTGTCAATTTCTGGGATGACTGCAGGGCCTTCTCCGCGGCTTCTGCGGTTGCAAACTCAACAAACGCAAACCTGCAGAGGATTACAGATGTTCTTGAGAACAGTCAAATGCTTTCTTTATTTGAAAGGTGAAGTGAACATGAACACTTACCTTTTTGGTTTGCCTTGGCTTTTAGGCAGGTTGATACTAACGGCTTTCTGAAAGATATTCTTGAGGTTTTTTTCTGGCACATTGAAAGGCAGATTGCTCACAAATAAGGTTTTATTTGGATGAGCTGCAGCTGTGAGAAAGAAAATAGATAATTTGTCACCAGGTCAAATTGCTAAATCCAGATTTTGTTGATGGATATTGAGATGTTAAAAAGGCAGCAACAAACATAGTTGAACCTCTGAACCCATAAATGGCCTGCAGGTGTGAAAGGCATGTTTTCTTTTCTTATTTTAGGGCAAAAATAACGCAATTTATCATAGCCAGGAATTCTAAAGACAAAAATGACAGCCTGATTTATAATGTGCAAATGCTTCCGTCAGAAAACGTAAAACCACTTCATGCTCTATTTCACAAACAAAAATAAAACCGTCTGCTCCAGGCAGATCCCTTAAAATAAATGTAATTCTGTGTTCCTGACGGAACGGTTTCAGTAAAAGTGAAACTTCAGCTGAGCTGCAGGCCATTCACACAAAGAAGAGACAACAAAAGTGTGTTTAAAGGGGCCCTATTATTCTCTCTTCAGGTTCATATGTATATTTCTTGGTCAATCGCTTAGAGATGTCCGAGCCCCTTAGCCTATCCCGTACAATGGGTTGGAGAGATAGCCAATAGAAGCAGGAGTGTTACATGGTGATGTCACTGTAAAACTCCCCGATATTTATAAAACTTTGGGGCACTTGGCAAAAAAGTTGAATATTTAGAGATTACGTTTTCTCGCATTTTAGGGGAAAGGAATTAAATCCCCAAAAGTTTTATTTTTTAGGCATTTTACCAAAAACTGCACACAATAAATGTTTCAGTTCTCTCCACTTCTAGCCATGTTTGTGCTGTTTTCATAGAGGTGCAGTACTTGCACCAAAAGATGCTGTGGGTCTGCAGGTTAATAGGTATAGTATCACCTCAGTTATTAAGAGTACGTTTCCAAATATCCAGTGATCTACCTTTAGTGTTGTCTTTGTTTTCATCAGTTTTGGTGACTTTCCGATTATTTTCTCCGACTTTTTCCACAATCAGAACACGACCACTCATCTTGGCTCCTTGTTTTTGCTGCAGCACTTTCCTGGCAATAGTTTTGTTTGCAAACTCCACATAGGCAATGCTGTTGAAGAATGATAAAACAATGTATTCATTACAGATTACAAATCATTATCATCATAATCACATTACTAAATATATCAATTAGGTTTTGTGTACCTAGAAAGTGAACCTTAGAGCATTTCTTTTTAAACTCTTACCCTGTTTTGGGGGTCTCTGCTCCACCAGGAAAACGAACACAGGTTCCCAATTTGAAGACTTTCAGAATGTCTTTTGTTGTCGCTTCGTACGGGATGTTCTTCAGAAACAAACATCTGCTATTTTTGACCGCTAAACACAGAACAGCCCTCAAGTTAGACATTTCATATTTAACAACCTCCGTGGACCTTATGGTGTTTTACATTCCTGTATAAAGCCCCCATACATCCATTATTTTAGTTATTGAAAAACAACCATACTCATATGAACATAAGTTTTATAAACTCAACAATGAATGCCCTCTAGTGGTTTAAACTAGAAAGGGTAAACAACATAGAATTAAATAACTACATTTTCTCGTTACCTTTTCTTTCCTCTGTGGAAAGTTTTGCCTTCACCTTGTCTTCACTTTTGACTTTTGCTTTGGCAACCTTCATGGGCAGCTCATTCATCAGATGTCCATTTAACATCAAGCCTTTCATCCAGTCCATCTCTGAGGCCAAATCTACGAATGCATGTTTTCTACAAGAGCAAAACAGAATTTGTTAGTTAAGTCAGTAGTTTTAGTAGCAGCACTAATAATTCTATGAGGAGTAGGAGCAGGATTCTCACCTGGACCGGTCTAATCTGATGTCTTGAACCAGGACGCTTTGTGTCATGAAGTAGTTTGCTAACGAATCTTTGATTTCCTCAAATGTTTTGGACTTGTTCAGGTTGCCAACAAAGAGACAAAAACCTGCAACAAATAAGACAGTGGAATGTGTGAAGGAAAGAATTCAGGCACCTTTCAGAATGAAGTCTTATATTGTTATTCACTTCTTACCATCGTTGATGAGCTTAGTTTTCTTTGGCGGGGACACGTCTACTGTAGAGCTGGCCTTCCGCTTCCCTTTTACTGGAACACATGGAAAATGTAAGTTAGGACAACTTCATCACCTGACAGTTCACATTTTGATCATACACACTTATATAATTCAAGAAATTAGCCATCTACTTCATAAATATTTGTCTGAAACTGATTTCAGAAAGATCAGGTAAATGCAGCTCAAGAACTTATGGACATTTTTTACTTAAATATTCACAGTGAGTCAATTTTGTGGGTTCAATGGTGATCTATTTTAAGCAAATTGATTAATTGATCAAAATGACTTGTCTAGGTGTAAAGTTCTTAAAGCAGTTGAGATCCAGTTTGAACAGATAACTCATGTGCTTGAGGTTTAAAATGATTCTATTTTGAGAGAACTTTTCCACAACATTTCAAAGACAGAATAAAATGTGCATGACCATTTACAACCTTTAAGCACACAAACAAGCTGTACACTTTCATCCAAAAGATAATTATTGTATGAAAAGTAAATGGTACGGTAAGCAAAAGTGATGATAGACTGAACGTCATGCATCAACCCATATTAGAGCTACCTTATGTCAACAGCTACTGCAAATATATGAACTGATTCAATGTTACATTATGTGGAAGTTTAACTATAAACGATTCCTTTAAAAATGTATTTAATTCAATATAATACAATCCCACGATTCCAGGAATGGAAAATAGAATGAATCTTAACAACTGGTTAACAATGAACATGTAAACCCTGAATGGCGGCGACTTACGATTGATTAACATCATGATAACAAAGCAAGAGGTGAATTTGAAGAAATGCACAAATAAACAGGTATGATCCATATTTTGTTGGGATGGTGCAGTCAAACCAACTTCTAATTGTAAGCATCCCAACATTTTTGCCAATTGATTGTACAAATGAGATAGTTATTTTACATCTGGCAACATGTGCATATACTACTGATTCAAGATTCAAAGGCTTTAAGGCGAGACACGGCAGGCAAAAACATCGTTTTTCATGCACTGGTCAATTTTGAGATTTTGTGCTATTTTGATTCCATAACATGTTTCAGGCTTTTGATAGGAAAACGTACAAAATACACATTTAGATGTTTATTTTTACTATAGTTTGTCTATTTGCGTCTGTAGATTTCTCCTAAATTCACCAAAAGTTAGCATTCTAACGTAACATAAAGTACCGCGACCGCTGTTTGCACCATGTAATCAGAGGTATCGTTGGAAAGCTCCGTCTCTCCTGCACAATCTCATTGGATCCAAATATGGTCATTTCCTTTGTATCAGCAACCAATCGTAAAAGCACAAAGGGGTCTTAAACCAAAAAACTAGATGTCATTGGCTGGTGTAAATTTCTGACAACGCGATTCGTTCAGAAGCGTCACGTGGTGTGCTAAAACACTTCTTGGTTTAGCTTTGGGCTGACTCAGAGCTCACAGCTCCTCATATATGTTCAGAAACTAGACAAATGTTAAACAAGTACAAACCACAGACTGTGGGTGTTTCTCAATCGCGAGTACGCTTGCTTGGTAGCACATGTCTTCCGAGTCACTTCCTTCAGAAGCTAGGCAAGAATCCTTCCTGGCATTCAGAAAACGAAGAGTGGAACAGGCTAGCAAGTGTGCGTCATATGAGAGGCCCCGCCTTACATTTTCCGCCACAGATTTGGGGAAATTGGTCCGTGCGCAAAGCATTGTGGGGATTTTAAGGACGCGAAGTCTACCCATGTGCAGCCTCGAAATTTCCCCCAAACCAAGGACGCGGCCTCGGTGGAATTCCAAGTATGCTGGACATTGGAACGGTCCTGCTGCGCCACTTGATGACGTAGCATCCTTGAAACATTGGCTTGGAAGCCAATATCAAAAACTGTGAATTAGGACCCGCTAGCCGGTACTAGGCCAAGTGGAAACACAACCAAAAACGGGCCGCTGACGTCACAGCTCTCTTAAACGGGGCTCCGCGCTGCAGTGGAAACGCGCCATTACATACACCAAACCTTCCAGTCATATTCCTATCAATATTATGAAGATTTTTACAGAAGGGTTTGTTTATATATCATTCATAGACTGAATTATAACATTTTATACCTAAAAACATGGCAAAAATTGATATTTTAGAGCTGTTGACAGTATTTTCTGATTTATGGAGTGATAAAAAGAGATATCCAAAATCCATTCTGTAAAAACTTTAGATTCTAATATGACTACAAAATGAAACAAGAATTTTGAACCTGGCTTTATCCAATGTCCAGAATTGTGTTCCTGAAATGTATTAAAATATGCGCATATTTTCCTCATACATGCGAGGAAAATAAATAAATATTTATAAATAATGCAGAGAATGTTGTAAATGACCAGGATGCAGGAGTTACAAAATTACCTATTGTACAGTAACATTTTTAATAATGAATGTTCATTTTAACATTTAATGTGTTGTAATGTGAGACGCATCCCTATTACACGTAATCTGGAACCAGACTGCTTTGAAACATTTGGGAATTTTGTTGGGGATTTGTTATTAGGACAGAAGAGAACAAAAAACAGAAAAAAGACCACTCCATAACTCTTATAAGTATCCTGACCTGGAGTCTTTGCAACAGTCTGTTCTGCTCCGTTGGTTTCCTTTTTAACTCCGTCGCTCTCTCCCTCCTCGCTCTTCTTCTCCCAGGCTACAGATACTGCAGCTGTGCTTCCAGCAACAATGTCCATCTGACATTCTGAAGAGAAGCTGGGTTACTGGCACCGCTCAGAACTCACATTTACGTGACGTCATTTTATTTGCAATACCTTCAGATTCCTGCTTCACATCTGTACTCTCACTGGGGGTATCCTCTGTGGAGACGACTGCCTCAGCTGAAGGGGCGATCTCGCTTTTTGTTTCTGTAAAAAACAGAAGGGATTTGATATAAACAGTGAAAAAGAATAAGTGCTTCTCACTAAAGATTGATTTTGAGGAGGAGTATCATTGTAAAATTGAAAAACCGAGTGCCAACTTTTGGACGTTACAGAATATTTAAACAGAGAATACACAACACCTTCAACTTAAATGAAAATAAAACACATTTAATTGGGGGGAAAGTAAAGTTACAAGATATAGTCAGATAAGGCCTGCAACAAATGCAATAATTATGACTTACAAAACTAAGAGCATCTGTAATATTCAAAGCATGATGAATTACAATACATCTGTAATATTAATGAGTAATGTTTGAAATTCATTTTCTAGAAAACAAAAATGTATGCAATAGTAACTATGATTCTTGGAAACATCTTACCGCTGTCCATGATCTGATCGCTGGTTCTCTTTTCTGCATCAGCAACTCCCCCCTTAGTCTTCTCGTCCCATGATATATCCACAGTCGAAGTACTTCCTTTTACTTCAATGACGGCGTCCATCTGGGGATCTAAACACGCAGTTTGTTATTGGTACAGCTCACAGATACAAACAGACATCATGTGAGATGCGTTTGCAGTACCTTGTTCATCTTGGTTCTCCTTGGGAGCATCTTCTGTTACGACTATTTGTTTGCTTGAAGAGACGATCTCAGTCTGTCCTTCTGCAACAACTATTGTATGATTTAAAGGTATTGTTATTATGTCAAAAACAGCCAGCTAAATGTAATCTTCCACATGTTTATTAAATAAATTACTTGCCAGTTGTAACATTGTCCTCTTCTTCTACAACGTCACTTGTGCCAGCTTGGCTCTTTCTTGTACTACGTCTAGTAGCCTGGAAAAGAAACAAATACATACATTTCAAATCAGTAAGAACCCTGTTCACCCACAAACAGATGGCATTGCAACTGAAACAGTTATACACATTATTTGTATGTTTGTTTTATTATCTTGCATAAATGGTCAATGGCAGCAGCATTTTTACAAATGCAAAAAAAACGTATGAACTTCCCCCATTTGAATATATTATTACAAAATGTCTTCACATATGGTGAGGGACAGCTAACTTGTTGACACTTTTTGCTTTCCATTTAAACAGGCTGTGCAGTTGTAATTTATCTGCTCGAAACAGCTAGTAAGTACAACTCAGGTGATTATCAGCAGCTAGCCAACTGTTAGCTTGCAGCAAATAACCTAAAATAACGCAAAGCGGAAACATTAATTCAGTGAACTTAGTAGCCCCTTTAGAATAAATGTAAATTAACGTAATTCTAACGTTAGAGTTTTACCATATTTAGTGTTACAACAGCAGACAATCAGAAACTGGTGCAGCTAGCAGTCTTTCAGTCGTTCCTCCGGTGAATGCACGTGTGTGTTGAGCTAAAAACACCCACATGCTACTACTCTGCGCACTGCGCATGCGCTAACTATTGACTAACGGATGCCTGTAAGTATTTCATTTTTTTGGCGTATGCACAACAACAACTGAACGGAATCTCCCCCGCCAGTGCCCCCCGCCACATATTCTCCAGTATTTCGACATCACTGCTGTGAGCAGTGCACACATTTGGGAACTATTGGGTAGCAGCAGGGGAAAGATGTTAGCAGAGAGAAAACCTAGTTGGAAGTGTTTTCGAAGCAGGTAACCGCTCAAATGTATTTTTTCTTAAAGCTAGCTTAGTTACGTTAGCACCTAAACGTGACACGGTTGACTGCTACTTCAGCGGTGATGTGTTTCAGCTCTCCACATGGCCCTACATTACACAGACTGACTGAGTATTACTTTGACTTGCAGAATAACTTGTAAGAGCATTTATTTTGTACATGTTGTGTATTATCGATGTGTTTGTACAACTCACACAGTAGCATTGTAATGACTCTTTTATAACTAATATTAGACTATGTTATAACTAATATTTTAGCCCTGATTGTCTCTTGGATTTACTTTTTAATGCTTCTTTTATACTTAATCAATGTGAGTTTTTAAGTGAAGCATGCCATCTAGGAAATGTATTGTAGACACACCTCTCTGTGGTGGTTTTACACAGGACATTTATTACATTGAAACTGGTCTCAAACAGGTAGAACTGGACTTCGAATAAACTGCGGTGCGAAGTTCGGGTTACAGCCTCCCCCACGTCAGCTCCCAGGCTGTAGACAGGGCCAGTGCGAGCTGACCATGGAGGGTGGTGGACTGGTTTGAGGACAAGCAGGAAAGAAGTGTTCACCATGGGGAGCCACAGGAACGGTTTTACTAATGAGAGTTTCATTTTGTCTGTGGATGTCGGGACTACTTCGATCAGATGTCATGTCTATGACAAGGAGGCAGAAATCCGAGGGTCATGCTCCACCATGGTATGCATCTATTTCTCGCTTTACATGTCTTGAACACAGACCTAGATTATTTTGGTGCTGGACTTTCTGTTTTCTTTTGCTAATATGTTATCAAGGATACATTACATGTTTATAACGATATATTTCTCTGTACATATTATTTATACTTAAGTCTGTTAACCTTCGCACATTCTTTGTACAATTTTAAGCATTCTGCACAAAACTACTTCTAAAAACTGCACAGCTCTTTCATTTGAATTCAGATACATATGTAAACAATGGAAATGTAAGATTTCTTATATTTTGTGTAGTTTTCTTGTGATCTTTATTTATGTTAGTTGATTTTTTTTTAACTTACTTTCAATTATTTTTCATTGCATCAGTCTCTACATTCAACACATACACACTTGTACTAGATTATAATAAGGCTGATCTATATGTTTCCTTTGCAAAGTCCTACAGTTTTCTACATTTATGCACAAAAGTACTAGTTATCCAAAACTACTCTTCTCTTTTATTTTTATTCAGATATATTGTACATTTTTAATAGTATTTTGAAATTTATTTTTGTAGTTTTATTCTCATTCTATTTATGTTTCTTGATTTTTGTATTTCAATTTTTTCTTACTTTGTTTATATTATTCACCAATACAACAAAGCGTTTAAACCGAATATTTGTTTACGATTGTGATTCAGGTGGTTCCCTTGTATCCAGAGGTAGGACATGTGGAAATGGAGCCAGAAGCAATATGGGAAGGGTTTATCACTGTGGTCAAGGGAGCTGTGCAAGGTACAGTCCTGTTACTACACATACTAAGGAGATAGACTGGATGTGATTCATTTTACATGTTAATAGCTGCAATGCATATTGTAAATATGTTACTAACCAAATGCATGTTAAATGAATGAAACGTTATTTATAGAGCGCTTTTCATAAACAAAATGTAACATGAAGTGCTTCACAGACAAAAGAAAATACTACCCCCCCTTCCAATCAATTGATGATTAATAATAACACGTCATATCAACTGAACTTAATTTATATAGAAGTTAATAAAACAAGACTAAATAAAACAAAATTTAAAAAAGTGTAAACACTGCCACTCTCACGTCCTCTGGTATGCTGGTAGTCTCAGCTTTATGTAGTATTTATTTTTTCAAAGAGAGCAAATAAAGCGAAAGGCTGGCAAACATTCACTGAATTGCCGGTTCCTTGAGTACAACCGACCTGGCTACTGTTCAATAAAATCAAATAAGCCTCCCTGCAATAAATAACATCCTTAATAAGGGTATCCTGTCCTTTAATTTAATGGATCACAGTATATAAGATTACATATTGAAATGTGAAAGTGCTCACAACCAACCGGACACTTTGAACTGGCCGGTTTTTCCAAATTTGAAGAGCTGACTGAAGTAATAATTTGGCATTGTTAAGAAATTTTATTGAACCCAGAACACTTACCATTTATTTACCCAATTCACCCAACCCATTTATGTACAGGGTGCACTTGTCTCTGTCCTTAGAAAGCACACAATAATCCCTGTGCGTCAGTTCCTATTCCCTATTCCCCAGTGCAACTCTTTTAATGATTGTTTTGCTCTGCTCATGTAGATGCAGGAGTTCACATGCGTCAGATAGAGGCCCTGGGCATCTCCACTCAAAGAGGCACTTTCACAACATGGGACAGGTGAATAATCATGAATAAATGAATAAATCCAATTACATCCAATAAAGTCGTTTTCACTTTAAAGACAACTGCTGTAAAACACATGTTCCTTTCACTTTCACTTTGACAGGAGAACGGGAATTCCTTTCCACAACTTCATCAGCTGGCAGGATCAGAGAGCTGCAGATTTGGTGAAGACCTGGAACAGATCCTGCACAATGACGGTGAGTCTTAAGCCTCTACACACCAAACTGACACCAAAGAATACGTCCCGACGGAACGTCGCCTCACGTAGTATATAGTATATATACTCAAATGCGTACTCTATATATTTGAAAAACTCAACAGGAATGTCTCTTTCAAAAAGAACCATGACAATATGACCTATAATCCACATAACTTGTTGAAATCAGATTCATTTAGGAACCTTTTTTCTTTCTAGCTAAATATACCTGCTAACAGTAAAACCACTCAGTAGGATGCATACACGTACTAATGGACTAGTGCTGTGTCTCAATTTGCGTACTTTTGTACTTAGATTAGCTATTTTGAGTGCATGAAGTTGAATGTGGATCAGTGTTCCCGTCTCTCACTCAACGATCGCCATTTTAGCCAATAAAAGTGGCACAACCAACCACAATTTCAGTTGCTCAGGTGAACACAGCTATATTAATATATGTGGGTATTTTTCACGATTTAATAAGAGCACCACAATACTAGTGTGGGAAGCCACTGTTAATTTAAATGAGCAGTCTGTAATGATTTGCAACAATGCTAGCTAGCTAGCTACCTACAAGCTAACAACGCAATCGTCACTTCTAGTGAGGGCACAGCAGCTTTGCAACATTTGAGACAAAACTACCCATTTGTACCCACACTTTGCAAGTGTTCACAGTGTACAAGGTATAGTGTACTAAAGGAAGTATCCAAATTGAGATACGGAATAGAATATTCCATTTCCGGGTGAACTGTTAAACACCTGAACTAGAACATCCATAACATTCACCTGTTTGCAACTTACAAATTATTTATCTAATATATCATATTCCAATTACTTGTATATAGACTCTGATTGCACTATTTCTATTCTATTCTATTTGTTTTTATTTGTATTTACTTGCACTATTTTATCTGTTTTATTGTGTTGCACTGTTGGAGGAGCCTGTGACCTAAGATTTTCATCGACATAACTACACTGTAGTTATGTACGAAGGACAATAAAAGCCTTGAAACTTGAACAGTGCATTTAAGGAGATGAGATCATTGAACTTTATAACTATTTGAATGCAGCCTTGATTTTTATTTATTTATCCAGGTGTATCCCATTGAGATCATTGATCTCTTTTTCAAGGGAGACCTGCTCAATAAATGTTTGACAAGCAACGACTGTATCAGTGCTGATAATCATGTTCCTTTGTTATGTATGTAATGCCATTTCTATCTCTGACAACTACAGGCCATCCAGGGCGTGATGAAGGTGCTCTACTTCTTCACCAGACAGAAACGGTTGCTGGCAGCAAGTCGTCTCCTCTTCTCCCCTCAACATGTAACCTTCCGCCTCGTCTGGGCCCTCACACACTACAAGCAGGTGTGTGTGTGCGTGTGAAGAGCTGACAGTTTAATCCAGTGACTGACAGAACATCAAACCTAGAGCCAGCCTCCTTAATTGTTCCTGTCAAAAGGGATTAATATAAAAAGAAGAAGAAAATCATACCATTCCAGCAAACAGGGAGCGGCTGGATTATATTATCAGTCCTTCCTTGTTCTTTATTTCTTTCACCCTCATCATATTTCGTTCCTCTTCCAGATTCGTCAGGCGGCAAATAAAGGCAACTGCTGCTTTGGAACAATCGACACCTGGCTGCTGTTCAAACTCACCAAAGGTGGGTGTAGCGTGTTAAGTGAAGCACATATGAATGTTGTTTATTGCCATTCCTCATAAGAACAGTACAGTCATCTATAATTTGTTGATTGTATTTCATATTGAAACTAGAACAGGATGTTAAGTCCTGAACAGGATGTTAAGTCCTGAACAGAATTTTCTGTCCTCAACAGAATGTTCTTTATCCTATTGCATCACTATTGCATCACTGATTGGCTAACATTTTTCATAAGAACAGTACAGTCATCTATAATTTGTTGATTGTATTTCATATTGAAACTAGAACAGGATGTTAAGTCCTGAACAGAATTTTCTGTCCTCAACAGAATGTTCTTTGTCCTATTGCATCACTATTGCATCACTATTGCATCACTGATTGGCTAACATTTTTCATTTAACTCCTGTGGGACAAGAGGGGTTGGGAAAAGGCCTTGGAGCACTAGTACGTTTTGTTGTACCTTTTTGAAGAGTGGTTGTGTGATGTGTTCATCTGTGACAATGATTATGTTTCAGGGCAAGTCCATGCCACAGATTACTCCAATGCCAGTTCTACAGGAATTTTCGACGCCTTCCAGGTGTGATGTTTGTCAAGTTTGTTTACTGTTTATTTCTGTTTTGGTGTGAAGTTTAAATATTCACATCCTTTAATCTTATATACCTTTTTCACAGATGTGTTGGAGTAGCTTTCTCAGCTCTATGGTTTCTATACCTCTCTCTATTTTCCCCAAAATAGAAAACACTAGGTGAGTTAACCATTACCTTCGAAGAGACCCTATTCTGCTTCCTGTAGTGTGTTTTTGAAGAATTAAAGATAAAACACAAACTCTTTGTATAAACAAAAAAGCAAACAATAATCAAACTCAATAATCCCAGACAATCTATTATTGACCATAAAAATGATAGTTAATTTACAAAAGGCTGAAAAAACAAATAAGGTAGATAAAGTTCTTCAACTCAAAATAAACATTCTTATTTCACCCATAGAGTAAAGTCTGATTATTTTGTTTTTCATTGGAAAAAAAGAACATTTCTGTTTGCACAAGAGTTAACATATTGTACTTAATACAATTTATGGAAATGTCCACTGTGTATGTGTTGTCTCTGCTCTCTCCCCATGCTTCCAGCTATGACTTTGGATGCACAGACCCGTCCATATTCGGTCTGCCCATCCCCATCATGTCAGTGGTGAGTGGCTAAGGTCAGACGGTGAAATCAGAAACATTTATTACAACATTTGCATTCCAGTTAAGCCAGCGTGTCCAAGTTCATGTCACCGCCATTATGTTTTAAAATGGAACTTATGCCAAGTTATTGGTAATCATCAGCACAGGTTTTCTGAGGGCAACAACATGACAAATCCTGCTGGAGACAGGCCCTGCTTTCTGTAACAGTGATGGCCTTAGATCTAAACATTTTTCCTTTAACAACATACTCATGTCTCTATATAGATGGCGGACCAGCAGGCAGCCATGTTTGGAGAGTGCTGCTTTGATGTTGGTGATGTCAAGATCACCATGGGAACCGGCACCTTCATGGACATCAACACCGGGAATACACCACATACATCGTCAGCAGGTGAAGCTAAATATATTCACAACATTATGTATTCCATCTACTCCAGAGCAAGGACAAACTGTTGGAATGGTCCCTCTGTGGCTCCACTTTGGAAAAGTGTTTTAAGTATTGTATCTTTTGGGTTAAGTTATTGGATCTTCTTAGTTTACAATATATACACAATGGAGGAATAACATTTAATTTGTCACTGAGCCTCCGGATAGTTCAGTGGTTAGAGCTGACGGCCATATGCAGTGTCCGCTGCCAAGTACACGAGTTCTACTTCTGAGCCCGCAGAACATTTCAGGCAGTGTCCTCCCCTCTATCTCCCCCTTTCAACACTATCTCCAATAAATGCACTCTCTGGCCCAAAAAATATACAGTAATATACTTTTGTTAAGGGCATATTTTTCTATTTAAACTATTGAATTTTTCTCAGGGAATTCATTACAGTTTGATATGATTATGAATGTGTGTACATCAGGGTTTTATTCAAACCGGGTAACTGCTCAGGTATTACTTTCGGCGTGCGCCCTCATACCAAAATGCCAATTTTCCCCGTAAAATGTTAAAGTGATGCCAGAAAACAATATTTCTGCTCATCAAAAACTGTATGATTACTATGAAAATCGTGTCAAATAGACGGTCGGACGGCAGTGACAGCTGCGACGTTGCGTTGTTTTGCGTTCGCAGCGCCATCTTGTATACAGGCGTCATGTTCTTGCGAGAATTGATATATCTTATATACAAGATCAGCGCCACAGTATTGCCCTCATACTATATTTTTATAGAAAGAAAACACTTATACATACATAGATATGCACGTGTTTGTGTGGATAACTACTGTAGGTGTATGTAGTATATCTGTCCGTTTTGAGATGAGCAGACCTGCGGATCATTTGGCTGCTGGTAAAAACCTCCTGAACAATGAAGAATTAAGAAACCATATCTGTGAGAAGCTGACCAAACGACAAACATGATTCCACGCTCCTTCACAACACCTATAAGCTGTACTTTGTTGATGTTTTGATTGAGGAAACCCCTATTGGCAGAAAAACACATATTGTGAGTTAAAGAGTAGTGTGTCCTTTCTGTCCTGTTATATGTATCACTTTTGTTTATATACGTATAAACACAAAATACTTTAATTTAATTTAAATTAAAAAAAGAAAGCAACTTCAGGCCCTTACAACTGCAATTTCATGGGGAAAAGAATAATAATAATTCCCACAAAATTAAAATGGGTCCCCCTGAAGTTGTCAGTGCTCTGTCTAAATGTATCCATACCAACAAAGCTATTGTCTGTCCCCAGGTCTGTATCCTCTGGTGGCATGGAAGATCGGCCCAGAGGTGGTGTACCTGGCTGAGGGCAATGCAGCGGACACAGGCACCGCCATCAAATGGGCTCAGGAGCTGGGTGAGACACCTGATTATTATTTATTTCATGTTGCTGGGTGAGACACCTGATTATTATTTATTTCATGTTATTTGCAAGGAATTATGGTCAGTAGTTCAAACCTATTTTAATTGTATTATTATTATTTTTGTATACGTTTATATTCAATTCATTTTGATTCACAAACAGTTTAAAATACACATACACTCATAAGACATGATAGAGACATGTGAAATGGGACATGTCTCTATCATTACAGTATAAGAAGCTTTAGAATAGGGGCCAGGACACTAAACACAGGAAATGACAACTTGTATTACTTTCAAAATGTAAAAAGCTGCAGCACACTTTTGCAATGTCTAGTATCATATGTTTATATTTTTCTGTGTTTGTAGTAGAATTGTCTATTAAATAGTATTTCCCAGATTCCCAGTCGATCGCGAGATGTGTCTAAAAATAGAACAACAATATTCTGTTTTATCGTTAATGTCCTATAACATAATCTTCCTGTGCCAGAATAATGCACTTGAACGCATCAAAGCTTTGTGATCGGCGTGACCCCATGTGTCGGGGCGTGGCTGGTGGGCAGTGGGCACTAGTTCGCTTACGTTGTCCGTGGCAACAGGAGTGACAGTCCGCACACAAGACCGCAATTATGGCAGAAGCAAAAAAGCCCAAAATATATAATTTTCACTCCGAGTGGGAGGATGATTATTTTTTTATCTATTCCAATTCTAAGTCCATCTGTCTCATCTTGTTTGTAGCCTTTATTTAACCAGGTGAAAAATCCCATTGAGATCAACGATCTCTTTTTCAAGGGAGACCTGCGGTACATTGGTTACACATAAAAACAACAGAAAACAAAAAGGACATCACAACATAATTACAGGGGTATAAATTAGCAACCTATTCACAATGACAGGTATCTAATAACATTTCATCCAGCCGTGCTTTAAAATGATGCAAGGGAATCAAAATGCTCAGTTTAAAAAAAAAATTGCATAGTGTTCCAAGCCAGAGGAGCAGCGCACATAAAAGCTTTAGCACCTAAAACAGTCCTAGCACTTGGCACATGTAATAAAAACACATCCTGTGATCTCAGGCAATAGCTACTTGCCACTCTCTGTGAGATCAAAGAGCATATATAAGTCGGTAGTTTACCCAGCATGGCTTTATATATGAACATGTACCAATGACTGAGCCTCCGACCAGTAAGTGAAGGCAGACCTGCCTTGGCATACAGGGTACAGTGATGAGTAAGTGCTTTACAGTTAGTAACAAATCTCAGAGCACTGTGATAGGCGGCATCTAACCTTTCCAGGCAATGGGCAGGTGCATTTATATATATCAAATCACCATATGATTATATGAGGGCTGCGCGCCCTCCAAGACCCTGAAATTGAAGGTGTTTAAAAAATAAATAAATTATAATGGGTTTTTTTTAATAAAAAAAAAAAATGTATATATATATAGCACCAAATTGCAACTAATCTATATCTACTGTCACTTTTCACATTGAACATGTGCTCTTTTATTAAATAAACTAAACGCCGACGCCGACTGTTGCGTCGCCGTGTTCTCCTGCGTCTTGGCCATGTGTCTCACTGGAACACACCGCAAAGACTTCAGCCGAGCACGTACGAACTGCGCATGCGTGAGTGGCAATAACTCTCCTTACCAGCAGGCGGCGGTAGTGTGTATTCGTCATTCAAAAGAGGCAACAACCGGAAGACAGAGAAGAAGAACAGACTGCGTGATCTAAACAAACAACAAATAGCGTGTGCGTTCCATTTTCGCTCTCGTCCATCGAAAACATGTTTCGTGCGGTACTGGAGCTATCAGCCATTGGAGTGTTGCTTGTGGAAGACATTCTCAAGCAACCGTTTCGCTTCTCATGCACTGCTTCGCTAGCTGAACAGCCAATCAGAGTGATTTCTTGGTCCGACTGCCTGTGTCCGACGCACGGCTGATTCAACATGCGCCGGCCGTGAAAGGCCAAATAAGGCGTGTCACGGCCGACGGTTCGGGACACACCAAATTGAGTTTGGGCGACAGGGCACGCTTCGTCGTCCGACTAACGAAGACGGCCGATTTCGGCCTGGTGTGTCTGGGCCTTAAGAAACACTGATGCATTAATCAATAACAACAATCCACAGCTCCTCTCTCTGCTCCAGAGGATTTAAAAAATATATATCCCAATGCATCCTATTTTAAAGGCATTTCTTTTTATGCTCTGCAACAAAAAAAAAGGGTTTGATTCTATTCATTTTGTCTCTTTTATTGCACTTTGGCAGCAGATTCCTGTGTATCTTCAGATCTGAGTTGTCTTATTAGTAAAACTAATTTATACTTTTGTAGCAACACTATTTGTATATAATGGCAAAGAAAGGGTTCAGAGTATTTTCTTTTTTTCCTGTATCATATGTGGCAGCACTGTTCATTGTTTCTTGAAAACATGACCCACTGTAGTTTGTGACGTGTGAATACACTCCCAACTCTGTATCAACAACACTGTTGTGTAACTTCAGTTAAATACTTGTGTGTGTGTAGATTAGAAAGAGGTAAGAGAAAGGATCTGCAGTATTTTATGAAGTATTAATCGTACAACGGTCAGTTTTATACAAGTAGAAGTGTGTATTTACCTGGTAAATACACACTTCTACGCCTCTCTATTTGGACTGGTAGATCTCGGCAGACTGGCAACTTTAAAAGTAGCTCTCGGTTCAAAAAAGGTTGGGCACCCCTGCTTTAGATACTCTATTGATATACATCCTTTCTACTTTTAAAGTATTTATATTTACTGTTTATTTGTATTTTGGTATATTCTTAACTTGTGTTAACTACTTGTTAACTTTCTGCTGCAGTGACAAAACAATTTCCCAATTTGAGGTGTATAAAGTGCGTCTGATTTAATGTAATAGGATCCAAACAGAAACATTTACAAGTTAAAAAAACAACTAATATTAAGACATAATAAACACAGATATATGACAAAGGGAAACTAATGGTACAAACTAAATGCATTTCAGAGTAGAGCAACATGTTTACAATTACCCAGTGATTAAGTGAAGTCAAGCTCTGACTTATTTAATAACAACTGCTGCTTTCAACTCTTTTTAAAGAAAGATTAACACATTTATATTCTTTAATCAATCTTTGTCCATACATGAGGACAAAAACACAATGCTGGAATCATCGAAATCAGCGGTTTTCAAAGTGTGAGGCGCGCCTCCCTGGGGGGGCGCCAGAAAGCTTCAGGGGAGGCGCAGCGTGAGAACAAAATAACGAGAAAAAGACGAGTAAAGTGTCACTTGCACACTTTTGGCTGTCTGTGGAGACCGAGTTCCCCCACCTCGCCAAAAAGGCTGTAAAAGTGCTCATTCCCTTCACCTCCACCCAGGGGCGGACTGGCCATCTGTGTGTTCTGGAGAATCACAGAACGGCCGGTCGTCAGCGGGCCGTTGACGGCCGGCTCGGTTCGCTGACGGCCGGCACCGCCCTTTATTTTTTATGTTTTTAAACGGCATCATTTAAGTTGCGTTGACAGCTGACAGAGGTCCGTTCAGCGGGCCGTTTCCACTTTGACAAGTACCGGTCAAGGCTGCAGCCAGAGGATGATCTGCGTTTATTCCTGTCTACATTGCATCCCCGCATCATCCGTCTGTGCGCATCAAAGACCCAGACTCATTGTTCCCACGAAAGTAGGGCTGAGTGTAATAAGGAGGCAAAGTTGACGTTCAGTGTGTTGCCGGGAGCATATATGGATTTATCCACCATGATGTTTAAAATGTCCAAAATGTTTAAAAGAAATGTTTAAAACATAAAGATAAAAAGGTTTTTAAAAGTTATTGTTTAATGTTTTAAGGAGGTGACACTACTCAGCCAATCAAATGGGTGCAGTCAGTGAGTCAGCACTCAAACACTCACAGAGAGACGAGACAAGAGGAGAGAAACAGCAGTGAGTCATTTCAAATGGCGTGCTCAAAAAAGAGGAAGGTAGACAGCGAAAACAGAGCATTTAATGACATGTTCTCTCACTGGACCTCTTTGAAATGCAATTGAATACCCCTGCATTATAGCAACAATAATAATAATAATAATAATAATAATAATAATAATAATAATAATAATAATAATAATAATAATAATAGCAATAATAATTGGGAGGGGGGGCGCGGCTGTTCTTATGTTCTCTGAGGGGAGGCTCACCTTCCCACACTTTGAAAACCCCTGATCTAAATGATCCAGGTTTGAGAGAAAATCTTCCTTACACTGAATATATTAGCGAGTGACAGATTCAGAGGGTGTGTGTGAAAGCTGTGTGTGTGTGTTGCAGAGCTCTTCTCTGACGTCCAGGAGACCAGCGACATGGCTTACAGTGTCAGCGACTCAGACGGAGTGTGCTTCGTTCCCTCCTTCAACGGCCTGCAGGTAGACTATTGTGTGATAATGTCAAATACAAATCTATGTACTTTTATAAACACGTGTGTACAAATTACAGCAATAAAGCAAAACAACACATGTACTTACAGTAGCATTTATAGATTTGAACTAATATGAGCATGGATTTATTTTTATTTTTTGTTTTGTCTTTCTGTAACATGGTTATGTGTCTCTCTTTTTCCTTTGCCCTCCATTGTGAACTGGCCCTTGTAAGTCCTGGATGTTCTTAGCTTGTATACATGTCATGACATAATCAAATGTTCTTTAAATGGTTACACAAATAGCACCATGTCACCATGTCACACAGTCACCATGTAAAACAGTTCACTGCAATCTATCTGACCAGAGGCTGATTTCACTTTAAAGGTCAAATAGGTAACATTTCCACATATACATGTCTAGAAAAAACCCTAGTTATATATTTTGTTGTAAGTTGTGTAGTTACTTTTCCCCAAATGTTATAAACTATTTTAAAAGCTGAATTCATAAAGTGACTTTGTATCCAGTTTTTGTTTTTTATAAGGATTTTAGATCCTGGTGGTTTTTAACTATATATTTTAACCAGATGAAGGATTTTAGTCTTAAACCTGCTAAGCAATTTAAGCGCCAGCCAGATAGGACTGGAGAAACACTGATTTTATTTAGCGTCATACTGCTTTAGTTAGTGTTTTACCGGTTTTAATTACCGCACTTGTTTATTTTGGAGAGGAGGAGACATCTGAGGACAATTCGGCTTCCTGTAAAATCCTCCTGACAAGAGTCCTTCATTGTAACCGACGCTACTTCACAACGCCACCTAACTCTGTTCCTCTGGTTTGATTGAGACACTCTAGTGGCAGAAAACAACTTATTGTGTGTTTAATGCATAGACCTTAGGACCATTTCGATTTTCTTTTCCTTTTTGTTCTTACCAGGTCAGTTTTTCACTTTTAGAAATGTAACATTTTTGTATTAATTCATCCAAAAGGCTCCTCTGAATGATCCCAAAGCCTGTGCCTCCCTCATGGGCCTCAAACCCTCCACCACTAAGAGTCATCTGGTCCGAGCCATTCTGGAGTCTGTGGCCTTCAGGTGAGAAACTTTGAAGAGATTTTTTTACCGTTCGTTCTCTTCATGCTTATCGATATTATCTCCTCATACGCTTCTTATTCTTTACAGGAACAAGCAGCTATATGACACAACCCTGAGGGAAACTCATATTCCCATCACAAAGATCAGGTGCAGTTTCTTTCCCTAATGTTCTAATTCATATATATTCTTAAGAATATCCAGACATTGGATTTGGTTTGTGAATAGAATTGAAATTAATATCCCATATAAATGAAATATAAAAACTATTTTACCACTTTATCCAAACCAATTTAATAAATGTGCTCTCAGCTGGAGATATTCCTATGTAAACTATCACTCAATGGGCTATAATGAGGTCAGGAAAAATGATCCCGTCACGTCCCTATATCATGCGGTATGATACAGTATGTGACTTATAACAACGGAGGTAATGTCCATGTACGTCACATCCCTATATCATGCGGTATGATACAGTATGTGACGTATAACAATGTCCATGTATTGTCGATATTTTAAAAGTCATGTCGCTATATCAACTGATCATGTAAAAATGATCGAGGTCATGTCGATATCCTGAAAAGAATAATTATTGTCCATATTGTACAATAAGTCGGTAACTTAAAAACCCTTGAAGTCATGTCTATATATCGTACGATAAGTCAATCACGTAATAACTACCCAGGTCATGTCCGTATTTCGATGGATAAATCAATTAAAATTAATGAATGAGGTAATGTACTTAAAGCGGACCATCATTTATATCATGTAAAAATACTCAAGGACATGTACAAGTATTGTGTGATACGATAAAGAAAAAAATCACTTGGCCAAAACAATAAATAATATTGACTCTCTGGCTCTGAGCAACAACGTCTATGCAATGCCAAAGTCTAATGTTTAAAAAACCTGTTGTTTATTCTGGCCTCATGTTGGCTAAAGTGCTGGAGACATTCCTATGCAAACAAACATGCATGTAAACATAACACTCAATGAAGAGGGTTAGGTCCATAACACGTTTATAACACGATAGCGTAAAAATGGCCGCGGTAATGTCCATATATCGTACGATAAGTCAACGTTAAAAGGTTTGCAGTCATGTTGATTCATCATATGATAAGTCAATTAATCAAAAAATGTGTGGGGTAATGTTCAAATATCAAGACAAGTTGATAACATAAAAAACGTATTGTACGATCATTTATACAATAAATATAATAAATCTACACAACCAAATCAATAAAGAAAGAAGACTCTCATGCTCTTTAAACAAAAATGTGTGCAATCCTCAAGTCTTAAGCTGCCTTCACATGATCAGTGTTATAACAGACGTTGCTGTTGTTTTCCTATGAAGAGAGCATGTTGAACATTTCCAAGAAATGTCACAGAGAGGCGCTCTCAAAGTTCAATCTATTTCAACTTTGACCTCGATTGCCACTGACCTTTTGACATGCAACCAGCCAGATAACAGCTGTAGGAAGTGGCTCAAGCTAGCAGGGGAGGAGGAGGATACCATAGGAAAGGAGACTAACTAGCGGAGATAACCGTGGATCATGTGAAGGCAGCTTAACAGTAGGTCAATTCTGGCCACGTGTTGGTTAAAAGGTTGGATTATCTTTTACATTTCTTACATTCTTATGTAAACAAGCACGTAAATACAACAGGCAGTATATACTACAGGTCAGAAAAGATCAAGATCATGTCCAGATAACATACGATGAGTCGATGTCAGTAAGGGATAAAGCTATTCTTGTGGCAGGCCTATACACAGGGGTTTACCTCCCATAGTGGTCCCACAACCTTTTAATGTTCCAGTTTACGGTGCAATATCTGATATAATGTCTGGATTTCAGCCAGGAAACTGGGCGTAACAGAGTGGACTCTCGTGTGCTCTGCTAATGCAGTCCAGCTTTATTGCCAATGCATTACGGGGTGTATATTTCTCTGATACCGTTACAGTAAAGTGAGTTGCAGTGTAATTGAGTGTGCTATGTTATTTCCGGTCCCAGGGTGGATGGCGGCGTTTCCTCCAACAACTTCGTCATGCAGCTGACTGCAGACCTGTTTGGCAGAAAGATATCCCGACCCCACCACTACGAAATGTCGTGCTTAGGGGCCGCTTTCGTCGCTGGACTTGGAGTCGGTACGCAGACACACACACTCACACACTCACACATAACATATCCATTGTGCTGTAGGCTTTTTAAGCTTTTTGTTGTCTTCCCATCAACTGTGCAACAATAAGATGTTTTATACTAAGTGTATTATGTAAGACAACAGTACAATGTGACCTTAGAAAAGAAGGAACCAAGATATTTAGGATCAGAAATGTGTCCTCTGCTCAGAGATTTTATTTATAGGAAAACCTGCCTTTCATTAAGCTTTTTAGTTTTTAAGTAACATTGTAATCCTGCTACAAATACCCAATATTTAGAAATGTAACAGTGATCTGATTACGTATTTTTTCACGTAACTCATTTCATTTCAAACCTTTATTTAACCAGATGGTCCCATTGAGATCATAGATCTCTTTTTCAAGGGAGACCTGCAGCATATAGGTTCCACATGAAACATAAAACAATAAAGGACATCATATTTACAGGATACATTTACATAGTTATAGACATTTACAAGTACCCATAGTATCAACGAGCATTTCATTTAGCCTAGCTTTTAAAACATGCAGAGGAATGAGATTGCCCAGTTTCAATTCTTGCTGAAGATTGTTCCAAGGAAGTGGAGCTGCGCACATAAAAGCTGTCTTACCTAAGACAGTCCTTGGTCTTGGCACATCTAACAATACTACATCATGCAATCTCAGACAATAGCTGCTTGCAACTCTCTGTGTTATCAGAGAGCAGATATAATACGGGAGTTTACCCAACAAAGCTTTATAAATAAACGTGTACCAATGACTGAGCCTCCGTACAGTAAGTGATGGCAAACCTGCCTAACTTGTTCAGGCAATGGGCAGGTGCATTCCTATACAACAAATCACCATAGTCCAACACAGGTAAAAAGGTCACAGTGACTAGCCTTTTCCTGGCCTCAAGTGAGAAACAGGACTTGTTTCTGTAAAAGAAACCTAGCCTAACCCTCAGCTTTTTAAGCAGGTTATTGACATGAAGTTTAAAAGTAAGACAATCATCAAGCCAGATACCAAGGTATTTATAACAGGCAACCACTTGGAGTACTTGTCCTTGGATAGTAACAATATCTAAAACAGGCTCTGGTGTCTTTTTAGCTTTTGAAAATAGCATTACCTTGGTTTTCTCAACATTTAAAAGAAGCTTAAGTTCAGAGAGCTGAGTCTGAATAATGTTAAAAACAGCCTGTAATTTAACAACCGCCTCCTTAATGGAGGGACGTGCACAGTACATAACGGTATCATCCGCATAAAAATGTAAAGTAGCTTCATCCACATTTTCACCTAAACTATTGATGTAGATGGAGAATAAAAGTGGACCTAAAACAGAACCTTGAGGAACACCATTAGTAATGTTCAACCACTCAGAAGACAGCCCATCAAAATGAACACATTGGGACCTTTCAGAGAGGTAGTTCACAAACCACCCCACTGCATGGCTGGATATGCCAATACTGGCCAGCCTCTGCTTTAAGATGTGATGATCGACGGTGTCAAACGCTTTGGACAGGTCAATAAACAGAGCTGCACAACTCTGCTTATTATCTAAAATACTTGTAATGTCATTCACCACTTTCATTGTGGCAGTGATGGTGCTATGTTGCTTTCTGAAGCCTGACTGATGTTTAGACAGGATGTCATTTGTACATAAAAACTCCTTTACTTGTTCACTCACTATGTGACTTAGTGTGAAACCATTCATTTTTGTGGCAATAAGATGGAACTACCTCTTATTTCGACATAAAACCATTTAGGAAAACGGGTCAAATTCTACCCGAGGACAACAGGAATGTTAATTTGAAACATTTGCATTTCTGTTAGTTTTGTGAAGCTGTGTGTCTTAAAGAGACAAGCAAACACAAGGAAAATCAGCCCTGTCAAGACACACAAGCTTCAATATTACTCTTTACCTTTGCTATTTATATCCCAACACGTGACTGTGACATTGAGTTGCTTTTGAAAAGTTCTGATCAAACATTCTATTTTTACTCCGGCAGCGGCAGAAGAAGCCGACTGAAATGCTGCTCCGTTACGTAACCTGTTTTCCATTTAATTATTCACATTATGTAATTAGATTGTTATACATTAGTCAGCGCTTAATCAAATCAAACACAGGAGTTGATTTCCAACGGGCTAGAAGTGGGTGGCTGAATAATAATGCGATGTGTGTTTGAGAAAACTTAGTTTGAAGTGGATCAGTGAGGTATATGTTGAATAAATAAAGAATCGGCACGCACAATGAGTTTCTTTTGCCAAGCATGTTATGTGTTTATAGGCAGGCTAGGGGAGTAACATGTTACGGGATTACGTAATCAGGATACTAAAAAATGTAACTGTATTCCCTTAGTTACTTTAAAAAAAGACTAAATCAGATTGCTGTTACATTTCTAAAATAGGGAATGACTAGCGGGATTACAATGTTAGTAAAAACCTAAAAAGATCATATAGTGTTTGTTGTAAAGGATCAGATGTTATCTCTTCTCTGTAAGCTGTACTGTTCTGTAGGATAACACTTTAAGTGTGAATCTATACGCCTACTGCCTGAATCTGCTTCATGGTTTTCACTTTCTTTGGTTCATTTGTTCTGTTTTTAATTCAGCAGGTGAACCTATGTTCATAAAATAGTGTGTGTGAGCTTAACTGTGTGTATTAAACTAAAAGGGAGCATTTTCTGTCAGCTCAGATTTTATTTCTGCTTTTTTAAACTGTAGTATGTGATCATGTGTTTGATTGTATAGACTGCTGCCTGAATATGCTGAAGGAAATGCAGCTTTTCCTATAGATCAAATCATTTCTGATCCTAGATATCTTGGTTTCTACTTTTCTAAAGTCACACTGTTCTTACATAATACACTTTGGTAAAAAACATCTTATTGATATGTATTTTCCCTTGGATTTATTGGCATTGCATTTGATATTGAGTTCATCCAAAAGTAACGGAAAGTAATCAGATTGCGTTACTTTTATATTTTGGTACTCAGCTTACTGATTAAAGTGACCCTCCCAACCCTGTGTATAGGCCTTCATCTGTTGTACACAGGTCCTTTTTTTTAAGTGTTTGTGTTATTTGCTAAGTCCCCCTCTGTTCTCTGTGCTCCCTGCAGGCTATTGGAGGAGCAGAGAGGAGCTGAAGAAGCTGCAAAGAGCTGACGATGCGTTCCTGCCCAAAGGGGTTCCCAACGGCAGTGCCTCCAGCCCGTGTCGGGAGTACATCCCCGTCATCCAGAGCTGGGAGAAGGCTCTCAGGCGCTCCATGAACTGGTACAAGCCGTGACCTGGACGCACACACAGAGAGGGCGGTCCAGAGTCTGAACAAGTAGGATATCCATACATGAGACTCCAATTAAATTAAATTAACGGTTTACACATCGTGAGATCGGTGCGAAAATGTGAAACCTCCTGTAAATATTGTGTCTTAGGCTTTTATTGTGAAAGGCAGGCCTGCCCCTCCCTACACGCAGATCACACAGACTGCGTGGGGCCTCATCTTGCGGAGGGGGCCTCATCTGATACGCAAATGTGGCGCAATGAAGCACGCCACTGCGAGGCAAAGGTCAAAGGTTTGCGTTGTAAGGAGCCTCCGTGTTGTTGTGTTCAAGACATAGCAACCATCAGCTATATCTCCAATCTAATTAAGGGAAAAGGCCTCCACACACCCCAACAACACACAAATCTGAAATAGTCCGTCTTTTATTTTGAAAGATAAGAACGCAAGAAGGGTTTTGCCTACAAACGAATATAGTCTGCTTTAGGCCTTTATTGTGAAAGGTGGAAAAGCAAGAAGGGGTCTGGATTCTTGGTTCTGATTATGGAGCCTCTGTGTTGTTGCTTTGACTTTGTTGTTTTAAGAGATAGCAACCATCAGCTCTACCTCTAATCTAATTCAAGATAGGGCCTTTACACACTGTAACATCAATACAAGCCTAAGACGGACTCTATTCACCTGCGAGTATAGCTGCTATATCTTTGTTGTTGTAAATCAAAGCTATAGCAGCCATCAGTTGTGTCTCCAATCTAATTAAACACGAACATGCGGAATACTCGCCTGTGAATATTGTCGAGGCTTTTATTGTGAAAGGTGAGAACGCAAGGAGGCCTTCCTGGTTCTGACCTCCGTGTTGTTGCTTTATTAATATACTCAACCCTTTTCAGACAACGTGATTGGTTAATGCCATTATGTGTGGCTCAAAAGCTCCACAAATTGTACATCATCGCAGTGTAATGTTCTATTAAAACAACGGTTTAAACCATATATATTGAAGAGTGAAAAATGTGTGTGAAGGCCTTTAGTCTTGAACAATACAAAGAAAGTAGACCTCAATGATTTGGTGACTGCTGTGCGACCTTTAACAGCAGCCACTCGAGGGCGATGACAGAAAATGTGTTCCTACTTGAATATGGAACACAGCTGAAGGTCTTCCTCTCATCACACTGAGACACACTGATATCTGTGGGCGTAGGCAGGGTCCCGGGACAGGACGGGTGACCCCAGCCTCCAGTTGTGCTACTCATTAAGAAGTTTACTCAACCTTTTGTACTGGATTTCCTCTCGCCATTGGAACCGTATCCTTGTATTCATTCCTCACCTCAAGCCACTGGTGCCTCTTTATATTGCAGTTATTTTATCAAGCTTGGATAATATTTGTACATGCTGACTGCCACATGGGGGCGCTAATGACTCTGTCTTATAGCTTTTTCATTTATGAACAGCCATAGCAACAACATGCCACACAATATGGATTGAAATCACATTCACACATGATGCTCACTTAATAGGAAGCAGGAATTTAGAATGAATAAAAGCACTTATTAGTTAAAAATCCCTTTTCCTTCTTGTCTTAACAGCATTTAGGCTTTGTTGATCGATAAGTAGTCAACTATAAATTACTTTAAACAACTTATTTAAATATCTTTATCTCAAAAGCGTACAAATGAACTAATATGATTACCTTTTATCAGCTTCTCAAATGTGAATATTTTCTGATTTCTGTGACAGTAAACTGAATATGTTTTAGTTGTGGACCAAACGAGACATTTGAGGGTTTCTTCTTGGGCTTTGAGAAATAATAATCAACATTTATCACCGTGGAAAAACGTGCAGCTCGACAAGACATATGTCAAATGTTAGTGTCACTAGAGTACATCCACATGTCCTTAAATCAGAAGCAGCTTCATTTGTATCTTTATATATTCTAGCTGCTCGCTTTACACAGTACTTGAACTTATATGTTATCTAAAAACTATGTTTAAATGTGATGATGATATTGTTGAAATGTGACTGGAACAAAATCTAATTGTCTGTGTTTTTCTCTGTGGAGGGAAATCCCGCAAGGTTTTACTACTTTTACGACACTTGAAAGGAAACATTTTTTGTAAAATGTGGCTGTTGGAGGGATCTGATTAGAAAATGTAGCTTTGCTGTAGTAGCAATGTCTCACACAGAAATATTAAATGAAAGGCTCATGGGTAGTTCAACTTAACTGGGGGATATCAATATTAACTTGCTTAAAACATAAAATAGGATACATTACATGTCATTTTTACATAAAGTGTATTTCTTGTCAATCCATGTTTTGTAACCCCTTATTTTCAGGTATTATTGTGTTTAATGTGGAGTTCCTCCCCGGGTGAAAGCCATGTTAATGTCATGTGATGTTTTGACTCAAGTCTTTAACTTGACCTGATGAACTAAGATGACAAAGTTACACATTCTAATCGTCTTATAGAATAAAAATGCTAACAAATAACATAACAACTGTGAATCTTTTACTTGTACTTGCTTGGTGTCGTTAAATGTTTGTGCCTTTCCTGATGATGTCATATCTAAGGTGGTCGACACGGGCAAACGGGTTTCAATGTCCCAAAATACTCATATCAGGAGAAACGCGCTGCAGCTTCTAAAACAAAAAAAAAATACAAAACTGAAATGTGCCAAAATCCATGCAACTGAAGGAACATCTCCACCAACACAACTCATGCACACAGTTGACTAAAAGCGCTGCATAAACAAAGCGCTGCAAGGAGCTCAAGTACTACTTTCATGTTTTATGACGCCGAGTTAGCCTGTTTCATAAGTGTTTTTCAGTTTATTTGAATATATCATTGATTTGACTAGGTTGGCTACATTGGCTAGCTAGCTTACAGCAGATCTGCAATAATATCGGAAGGAATCACAGTGTTAAAATAATATGTTAAACATTTGAGTTATGTTTCCAGTAACAGTTGGCCAACTTTATCATCCCAAAACATCAACAAGTGGTCCCAGCTGTGTGCATCACTTTTTAGTGTCCCCTGGTTTCCGTTGTGTTTTCAGCTTCTTGCAGCGTTTTGTTTACGCAGCGCTTTTAGTTAGCGCTTGTGCATGTGTTGTCAAGTTGGTGAAGATGTTTCTTCCTTTGTGTTTTGGCACATTGGTATTTTTTTATTTGCATAGTTTTTTGAACTACAGTGGGTTTCTCCTGATGGAAGTCTTGTAAGGCGTTTGCCCCTGTCGGCCACCGTACTTATCCTCTTTCAAAGCTTTGTTATGCCAAGTGATACTATGCATAATGCAGAAAATGAATGTCATGCCCAAGCTGCTGGTGAATAACAAACATGTTTTGTTACTGAAATCAAAGTACTTTGTAGTAATAAAACAACGTAACTGATGAGCAGTGTCTTGTCCTGATTTGAGTGTGTGTGTACACGGGGAGCAGATGCTGCCTAAAAGGTTTTACCTCCACATGGACTCTGGGGAAATTGTGCTGTCCGTGGGGGAATTATCAGGCTGTTGGATGAGTGTCGCCATCGCTTCCCATTGATGTGACCGACCTCACTGCGAGGGTTGCTATGGTAGCTTGCAGATGGAGTGACTGAGAACAAATGGGGTGTGTTTTCCTGCTCATGGTGCTGGTATGGTGAAGGGGGCGCTAATTGAGTGCACAGAAAGGGGGTTTCCTACAAAACAAAGGGAGGATTGTGCGCCTGTCCCCCTCAGAGGAAGAGCCAAAGTTTTGTGCAACATACAGTATTCCCCCCCCCCCAAACACTGTGAGGGTTATTTCAAAAATGTAATCCGTTACGATAACTACATATCAACTAATATAATCAGTAACCTATTCTAAATGCAAATACAACCAAGAGAAAGGAATAACAATAAGTGTTTGTTTTTTTACTTAAGTGTGTGTAAAAATATAACCTTAGAAAAGAAGAAACCAAGATATTTTATATAAACAATGTAGTAACAGTAATAGATTACAAATATTGTTTAAGCGTAATACATTAATCAAAAGCATACACTGTATTCTTGTTTTACAAATCTGGTGTCCACCTACTGCATTAAAAAAAGAAATGTATTTAAAATAAAGAAGAATTAAAGTAGCCGAAATATAATCCATAAATACAATTCAAAATGTATTGTAACACTAATCCTGCTGGTTATCTCTATTTATTTCAATGCAATAGTAATACTTTAAAAAAAAATTGTAACTGTAATCGAATTCAGTTACCTTTTTTTGTATCCTGATTACGTAATCTCGTTACACACTGAAAAATGTTGACTTTATTGAAATGTATTATGTCATAAATTGAACCTTATATGTGTTAATTTAACTTAATAATATTGCTTTCAACCAACCTAATACAGTTATGTGAAATCTGTTGACATAATGCATTTAATTAAAGTTAACGGTTCCGTTTTTTCAGTGTAATCTCGTTACATGTAATCCGTTACTCCCCAAGCCTGAACACTTCCTCTACTCTAGCTGTCAATCTCAGCTTTCTCACTCCTTTTTGTGTGTTAACAGTGGGCCTGGCTTGCAGTGGGATGCCTTCAGAGAGAAATGTGCCAGAGTAAGTGAGACGGACAGGACTGGCCCATGAATCAGTGCTGCCTGCTCTCACACTAATCAGGAAAATGGGAATGTGTGTGTGTGCTGGTATTGTGCCGCATTGTATGAGTTGTGGTGGACCCTGCCTTACAACAAATTCAATCTGACAGCAGGATCTGGATGCACTGCGACCACTACTCCAGTCCCCCTCCCCCATAGGAGCTGAACCCTGCATCAGGGGTCATTATGTAACTCCCCTCCTCTCCCCTCACTCGCTGTTACACACTGGGACTGTTCGCTGGAGTGTCAGGGTTGGAAGTTAAGCTCTTGTCCCCTTTTTTCCCTCTTCTTTCAGTGTCTCAGCCTCCCCCCCCCCCCCCCCACTGAGCCTCTCAGCTCATTCATGTCAGACGTTGGCACGAGACACTTGGATAGAACACAGGGAAGCTCATTTACTACATATTAAAATACTAGGAATAAAACATGGAATCCTTGCTTTAGTCACAATGAATACATCTTCTGTTATCTGTGACACATCTGTTTCCGATCAGTCATGTTCTCTCTCTCTCTTTCTCTCTCGCTCACACATTCTAGTTTCAGTGGTGCTCCATTGCCATAGCAACAAGGGTTGGCAAATGCTCCAAATATCTATGCTCAAGCAGTCTGTCACAAATAGCATCCTCATGGGCTGCAAATGTGCTGATCACTGGCATTTATGTACTTGTAAATACATATTGGTGTGTGTGTGTAAACCTGTGCTTTCTGTGAAGTGAATTGCATCCATTGCTGAGGAAATACACTCCACGATTGGTTATTGGTTTGGTGACTCAATGTGTAACACCAGTAGGCCTACGAGCTGTGATAAACCAGGATCCCATATCATATCATTATGATACCATAGCTTTTATATCAATAATATTCAACGATAGAATCCATATCGTCTCAATAATAAATCAAATAAAAACCTAAATGTGACCAAAATATTCAAATGTAGGCCTATACTGGTTTGGTGAATACGTCATGACATATTAGTGTGATATTATAGATGATATGACATCCTGGTTTGTGTATAACATTATTTAGAAGTATCTTTTCCACAATGGCACTAACATATTTTGGTTTCTCTTAAAAAAAAAAAAAAATCTTGCTGCAGGACCCCTGTAAGTATAAAGCGGCCTTGTTTAACGCCATTACAATATAATTAATGATAAGAAAGATATCGTGCGCTCTATTAATAAGATGTGCGCGTAACGGTGCGCACCGTGCGTCTCCCCGTCATTAACCAATGTCCATCCATCTGCTCGCACTGCATCAGCTGTGCACGTCACAGATTTCTTTTTCCTCCCCTCTCTCCCTCTGTTCCTCTCTTCCTCTCTCTCCTCACCGCCCACTCTCACTCACCGCCGCCTCGCCGGCTTCTTCTCCCCGTCACATCGCCTGCTACCCCCTTTTTTCTGCATTTTTTGGTGGAGAAACACCGCGCATTCTTTGGACCAAAACAGCACAAACACAAACCACCACCATGGCGAGCACCGAGGATAAAGTGGTGGCGAAACAGGAGAATGCGACCACCTGGAAGGACTCCTTCTACAACCCGAGGACCGGGGAGTTTATGGGTCGCACGGCCACCAGCTGGGGTAAGGCTCCCGATGCACAGAGCGCAATTAGTGTGACATTCACGGGGCTTAAACAATAACCTCTGCACAATCACATGAAAGATGTGCGCGTTTTGGAGAGGCTAAATAACCTGCTCTATCCTCCTGTGCATGGATGAATTTAAAAAATATTCCAAATTAGATGTTGGATTAGCCATCACAGGCGTGCATGAAGGTGTAGAGGAGAAGCCTGTGAAGATGTATGATGCTTTTAGGTGTGTGCGCAACAAATAACCAGGTGATCAGATTTTCCTCACATTAATATTCATCATGATTGGATGATGAGGAGCCCAGCTGTCACATGTGAGGAGCAGCATTCCAAGGCTGTATCCATAGATTTATGTAATGATTCCACTGTGAGGTAGTAACACAGCACCCCCCCACCCCCTCTGATAGGCCGTCAGGCAGCCTGGGCCCCTGTGCTGCTGTGCAGTGAGATGCTCCATTGCAGTTGCATGGCCGCCCACATTAGCATGCCTGTCAAGGTCAAATGGGATTCCCTCTCTCCTCTTTCTCTTCCTTTCACGCACCAGGCAGGTGCATTGTGGGATACTGTTGGAGAGGAATGAGAAGAAGGGGGGATGTACAGCAGGAAGCAGAGGGGTCCATCCTTTTTTTTCTCTTCTGTTTGTCCCTGTTAGAGGGCATCCGTGCTGTGCGAGGCTGGATGGTGGTGAACCATTTTGAGTCAGATGTTTCCACAACTGGGGCTCCTCTCCTCCCCCCCGCATGCTGCTCATATATGAGGCTCCCAGCACTGCAGCGTCATCCCTACATAAAGTGCGTTTTAAGTGAAAAAAGGCCTCCTAGCATCATAGTATTTCCCCCCCTTGATCCAAAATGGTTCCTCTCAAAGGGATCGTGCTCTGTTTCCTTCATGAGGTGAATCAGATTTGAGTTAAAGCTTGAAGTGAATTATACATGACCCTCTGTCTCTTCCACTCATTATGTCTCCTTTTTTATTCCATTCCTCTCAACTTCCTCCAGCCCTCATCCTGCTCTTCTACCTGGTGTTCTACGCCTTCCTGGCCGGGATGTTCGCGCTGACCATGTGGGTGATGCTGATGACTCTGGACGACAACGTGCCCAAGTACCAAGACCGCGTTCCCTTCCCAGGTCTGTGTTTCCAAACAAACAAATAGGATGGCTCTTTAGCTATCTGGCTGCATTGCTCTGCGAGACATCCAATATTCATACTCGCACCAATGAGATGCTGTCACAATAATGTGCTACATTACAGCTGCTTTTTGTATTGATCTGTTTTCAAGTGTGTACCTGTCAGCAGTGGAGTCTGTTTCGATCAGAGAAGGCTTTCTGTAACCGGAGACTCGGATGATGGTGTTTGTTTCTCCAGTGTGTCTGACTCTATGTTTATTTTACTCTGATGTTGCAGGGTTGGCGATTCAACCAAATACACTGGATATTATCTACAATAAATCTGAACCATTAAAGTACGCCCCGTATGTCCAGAAGCTGGAATCCTTCCTGCTGAGTAAGTGCACTTCTCCCTGGTACAATGCAATTCATTTTATTTGCAAACAGTTGAGCTATCCAAATCTTTAGAATAGGAGCCGAGACACTCAAAAGAAAGTAGTTCAAGTATGTATTACCAACACATCTAGAATTGGAAAGATTTCAGAATAATTTACAAGCCTAAAAACACCTGATACTAACCAAATCCTCTAAAACTGATCCTAAATGGTCCCAACACTTTTATTTCATCAGTACTAACATTGGTGTAAATGAGGTAAGTCATGATAAACACAGAGATATGAGAAGGGGGAATAAGGGTTCGGATTGAATGCATTTCAGAGTAGAATTACCGGTTTATTTTCCCTAGCTATTTAGTGTATTCAAGCTCTGACATGTATTAATCACTTTAAAATAAAACAGGGTTATGGTTAGGGTTTTTCCAATCATTCTTTCCCTTCCCCTGAATATGTCTCCGCTCACGTCTCTCTCAGGTTATAATGATACCGAGCAGGAGAAGAATGAGGAGTGCACTCGAGGAGAGTACTTCCTGCAGGACACCGCCGAGGACATGGAGAAGAAAGCGTGCCGCTTCAAGAGGGGCTTCCTGAGTCTGTGCTCCGGCCTCTCCGACACCAACTTCGGATATTCTGAGGGGAAACCGTGCATCCTGCTTAAATTGAATAGGGTAAAACAAATCACAGAAAATTGCTTTAAAAACATACAAATTGCATCTCTCTGCTAACCGTTTATTCCCTCCCACAGCTCCCATCTCCATCTCGCCTGCTGAATAAACGATCATGTCTAATTTTGTCTCAACCTCTCATGTTACGCTTCATAGATCATCGGACTGAAGCCTCGTGGGGATCCCTACATCGCCTGCGCAGTCAAAGTAAATGTCTTCCTCCACATGTTTCTCTACATGTTGTATATGTGTATTTCTGTTTTCATTCTTTTTATTTAAGAAGACCATGTCGATATGTTCTTTCTGTTGATCTTTCTTGTTTTCCTTCTTTTTGTCTGTTTTTTGTCCGTTTCTTTCTGCATGCTGTCACTGACGGCCTTAGGGTAAGATAATATGTAAATTATGAGGATAAGGCCAGCAGGGGAGTTAACACATTTTAGATGATGTAACAAGTCATTACGCAGGTGCCTCTCTAAACCCATCCTAGTGCCATTCTCAAGTCATTTTAATCTAAAAGGCGCAGCAAATTTTTTTTGCAGATTAACGCAGAACATGTTTCATTTAAATCTCCTCACTAACAAACAGAAGGCCATCGCTTTTGCTTTTTTCCACGTCTTGTCTCGTAAACTTGGAAATACATGTCATTTGCTTTTAATTTGACATGATAAGTTGCATTTCATGTCGCATTCACATTGACTAACACATGTTCTTCTGTGCAGAAAGACGAACCCATTCAAATGCAGTATTTCCCCCGTGAAGGCATCATTGATAAGATGTATTTCCCCTACTACGGAAAGAAAGCCCATGTAAGTATTCATCATCAGTCAGATCCTCACCGCTAACACATGGATGTTTTATAGGGAATGGGAGTGAATAATGGGGCAGCACGGCCGTCTTTGAAGGATAGCGTCTATGCAAGCAAGCCCCCAGGAAGTGCTCCGGACTCTGAGGAATACATTCGTTGTGTCCAAACGGCGGTACTACAATTTCCGTATCAGTCCGTGACGTCACTGGGCCTAGAAAGACTTTTCCCCATTGACTAACATTGGGAAAGAGACGTCTGTAAATCAGCGGATATTTTTTTTTAATCTAAATAAACTACCCAGTATGAACTATTTTATAGCCCTTATCAGAATCATTCGGTCCTTAAAGTTGTAAAATGCACTAAAAGCCGAATCTAGATTTATTTTCTTTCTCCATTCATTCTACGTGAGCCGAGAGTGGGATCTCGGGGGGCGGGGCTTAAGGGGCGCATGCTCTGTGAGTGCACATACGGGTTCTTCTGCTCTGACAGCCAGGCATGACGTTTCGCTCTCTCAAAAGTTGGGCCATTTTGTCCTCATGTGCCAATGAGCAGCTCTCATAGGAAAGAACGAGACCCCGCCTCCCACGCTGTATCCAGTTCTTATTATACATCCATGATAGCAAGCCCCAGGAAGTGTGGCGGACTTCAGCAATTTATCATAGTGGCTGTCACTACCCGATCCGCATCCCTACCCAATCCGCATTGTGCATGTGCGAGATGGTCCGCCATATTGGACAACTACATACGGCAACCCAAATAGGACACTTGACACAGTGGCGTTTGGCAAAGCAGAAAAAGAAAACTAAAAAAACAGACAATATTAATCTGAACGAGAGAGAGTTATTGTTATTACAACGTGACTTCACTATTATTTAACAACTCCTTTTATTGGGTCCTTTTATTGGGTTAAGTACATTGTCAGAATAAGTGAGAAATGGATTTAACTTCGATAGATGTCGGGCCGTCGATGAGCGTCGTGTCGCCCTACTCAGATTGGTGTGTACTGCACCGTCGTGCACCATTGTGTCTTTTCGGCTGCGCCGACACCTTCCGCCGCCGATTCGACATGTTGAAATCACTCTGATTAGCGAATCAGTGCATGAGAAGCGAAACGGAAGTGAGGGACCCAAACAAACTATTAAGAAGGCAAATCTGAGATTTCATTGAACTCCAGCTCTCGACACAGGTTCGGGAAAGCCCCATGAGCTTCTCGCTGTAGAGTGAAAATGGAACGCACACGCTATTTGTTGTTTGTTTATATCACGCAGTCTGTTCTTCTCTCTCGGTGTATCACGCAGTCTGTCTTCCGGTTGTTGCCTCTTTTGAATGACGAATACACACTACCGCCGCCTGCTGGTAAGGAGGGTTATTGCCACTCACGCATTCGCAGTTCGTACGTGCAACTTGGCCGTCGGCTGAAGTCTTTGCGGTGTGTTTCAGTGCGGTCGCCTAGGTCGCCAGATCTGGGGGGGCGCTGCGCTGGCAGCTCTGGGAGGGAAACATTTATTTTGACCGTTGGTGCTCATCCTAATTTTCGTCCTTGATGTAACAACATTCATAATTAAGTCAATGTAAAAACACCCTTTTCACCCCGGTTACACTTTTCATTTGCCATGTACGATGGGCGCTGTAAGTGATGAAAGTGGGGGATGTTGGCTTATCAGGCGCCCGCAGCTCACAGCCAAAGTGCGAGCGAGCGTCCGAGCGAGCGAGGGAGAGAGAGGGCGCACCGGTACCGGGGCTTGGCTTGTTGTTATTACTAGCATCTGGTGCTAGCTGCGCTAACGGATATAAGAAGATGTTTCTACAACAAGGTGGAGGAGAGCTCTCCTGTCAGACTGAGAGGCTCAGTGAGGTAAAGGACTCTCTGAGTGTTTTAGATAGTTAACTTTAGTCTAAGTTATCTCAGTGGGTCTCAAACCCACTGAGATAAAATCTTTTGCCAGCTAAAAATCTCGCCTAGGGCAGCAAATTGGTTAGAACCGGCCTTGATTACCGCACTACTTCAGTAGACTGTCTCTTTCCTCACGCAGGAGACCTACGTTCAGCCCCTGGTGGCCGTGAAGCTGCTGCTCACCAAGGAGGACTACAACAAGGAACTGGCGATTGAGTGCAAGGTGGAGGGCTCCGACCTCCGTAACAACGACGAGAGGGATAAGTTCCTGGGCCGTGTCACCTTCCGGATCAAGGTGGAGGCGTAGGTGGAGTAAAAGGACGAGAAACCCACGCAGAGGCTGCCCAGGATTTGAAAAATAAAGATAACAAAAACGTGTCAAAAACGTCACAAAGACGGCATTTTTGGGACGTGGCCCAACAGTTTGTTGTAGATAGGTTAGATGCAGATATTGAATGTCGCTTTGCTGACATTCTGACCCTTCTTTCCTTCACGATCTCCCCAAAGGTCAGACACAGGCTCTGCTTCCTGACCCCATCATCTCATTCACCTGTTGCACTGCGCATTCCTCACCCCTTTTAATATGTTTTAATTGTTAGTATTGATGTGATTAGAAAACGTATAGCCATTTCAACCAAGCTACTTGGAGCTGTTGTGTAATTGCTGATACAACTTTTTTTGTTTTGTTTTTTCTGCTCATACCTCATTCCAATCTGTATGAATGAGCGCATTGTCGCTGGAAGATTCGTACCTTTCTGTATAGTGTAATTGAGAAAGTAGAACATCACTTCATCGCATCACAAAGACGTCATAGGAAACGTACCTTGATAATCAAGTATAGCCACTGTATCCCTGTATATGAAATGCCAATTACAAAGTCCCTTTCTACATATAAATACATTGTAATCCTTATCATATTTAGGGAATTATAGATAGTTCTTCGTGTCGAGGCCTGCGTGGCCGCGACCCCGTCTCGTGCTGTCTGTCCGTCTGTCTGCATGTCTGTCTGTCTGTCTGTCTGTCTGTCTGTCTGTCTGTCTGTCTGTCTGTCTGTCTGTCTGTCTGTCTGTCTGTCTGCCCGTCTTCCTGTTTACTCACCTCTCCACTGCAATAGCCAACATGTGGGCGGGCCCTCCGGGAGAAGCTGTCTCGCTCCACCTTAGCCTGGTGCTGCGCAGTGATGGTGGCTGAGGCGACACACACACACACACACCGAGAGAGTACAGTGTAAAAAAACTAGAAAAAGTCGCAAAATAAAAACTGTAACTATGTACTGTATATCTATCTGGGTCTCAACGATTGTTCGTCAGTTTTTTCAGCCTGTTGATCTGATTGTCTGCCAATCTATTACTCTTCAATGTATATATATATACACACACTATCTACCATATTTACTTCACACTGTATTTTTGTCACAAAACACAATGTCTGTGCACTGTAAAGAAATAATTTAAGCAAAGATTTACAGGAAATTATCTTATTCAAAGCTATGTTTACACAGTCTTAAAAGGAACCCTCATTTGAAAGACCATCTTGTAACATCTCTGCAGGGTGCCTTAAGACCTGATCAAATAAATTGTGGAATAAAAGTGATTTTGAAGAAAAATATATTTTCTCCTGTGTATTTTTTGTATTTATTTTACTTTATGTCCTAGATGTACCTAAAGTTATCCGTAGATAATACCTCATTTCCATATTTAAACGTGTGTGTGTGTGTGTGTGTGTGTGTGTGTGTGTGTGTGTGTGTGTGTGTGTGTGTGTGTGTGTGTGTGTGTGTGTGTGTGTGTGTGTGTGTGTGTGTGTGTGTGTGTGTGTGTGTGTGTGTGTGTGTGTGTGTGTGTGTTGGGGGGGGGCTGAGGCTTTCTGCAGCTTGTGGTTTCCCCTCATCACACAGATCAATATTTATCAAATCCACACACTGTAAGTAAACCTGACACTGTCCACAATATCATGTGAGCCACTGGGAAAAGATCCCAGAAGCTGAGATTGATTTTCCTCGCACACGATGGTGGAATGTACATTTACTCAGTTAGTAAAATGTTGAGGAACTTTAACTTAATTGATCATATCCATTTTATGTAACTAACAACTTTAACTCCACTTAATACAGTTATGTTGAACCTGTTGACATAAGTCATTTAATTAAAGTCATTGTTTCGTTTTTTTAGTGTACATTTATTTTAAAACGTTAATTTGCAGATATAGATAATCAATCAAAAAATAGAATCAAGTAATAAATGATGATGTATTAGACATTTGGTGAACACATAACGCTTTTATAATTATAACACCATAAGAACATATATATTAATCTATCATGGTCCGTTAGCTTGAATATGATAATAATACTTTTGTCATTTTTGATTTTGAATGCAGGACTTGTAAGAGCGGATTTTGAGAATCAAAATCTGAAAAACTTTAATAATCTTGGGGGGAAATTGTTTTTTGTGACAATAAAAAAAATAAAGAAATGATCAATAAAGATCTTATAATATTAAGTGTAATATAAACATTTAAGAAGGTCCTCTTCATATATCTCTTATTTAGTTGTTCACTGATGCATTGACTATAGCCTCATCTGTGAGTGTTGCACCTGTGTTGGCTGTGTTGTCAGAACACATCAGGTCAGTATGAAGAGAGGTGTGATCACAGCTGTTGGCCATGATTCCAGAGCACCTCCATCCCCCCCGCTCAGGGCTGCGGGGGGGCAGCGGTTTGTCCTTCAGTGTCAGCAGCAGCAGTCACGAGAGATCATCTCTGGAGGTTTAGCTGCAGCATGAATCCATCTTAGGCCCTCTTCATCTCTCCTTGTCCTTGAGCTGCAACACAAGTGGTGCTAAAGGGAAATACCAATACCAAAATAAAGGGGTAAATGTTGGAGTGTATCTGTGTATTATGTGTTAATGTTTCCAATTATTGTTAATCCACCGAACTTCTACACTAAACTACACGTTATATTAAGATGCATACAAGTCCATGTGTGTTGCATTAATGTACATCTTTGGGAATATATATCTGTACATTAAATATTGTTTTGCGCTATCCTTGCTCAAATCTTGCACATTTCTGCACAAAACCTGCCTCTTGTAAATCTGCACAGCTTTATATTGGTATATTGTTGATATTCTATTGCACAGTCATTTTCATATTCTTTTTATGCTTCTTCTATTTTGTATTTAAAATTCCATTTTTATTTTTGTATTTATATGTTTTTTTTTCTTATTGCAATTGTGTTCTTTCTATATTTATGACTTTACATATTCTGTAATTCTGTGAAGCTGCCAAACATGTTGAAACTTCATAGTCCTATTGTATTTTTAGTTTCTTGTAAATAACGCAAGATATGTATTGTTGGGGAAATATTTTCCTAGGCCCATAACTTTGGTCCAGTTGATCAGTTTGTACTGCCCTCAGTGAGCACAGGCCTGCGACCTTGGCTGCTGTGCTCTCAGTGTTCTGTCTCCCTGTTCCTGCCTGTTGGCGTCAGCTGATTGAGGTGTTATGGTTTTATCTTGTTATGCAGCATGTTGATTCTTCTCTCAGAACCAGCTAAATCATCTCAACATCAGCAAAACAAAGGAGCTGATTGTGGACTACAGGAAGCAGCAGGGAGAGGGACACGCCCCCATCGCCATCAATGGGACTACGGTGGAGAGAGTCAAAAGCTTCAGGTTCCTTGGGGTCCACATCACTGAGGACCTGACATGGTCTCTTCACCCCACCACCATCACCAAGAAAGCTCGACAGCGGCTCTTCTTCCTCCGCAGGTTGAGGAGGTTCAAAATGGATCCCAGGATACTCTGCAACTTCTACAGGTGCACGATAGAGAGTATCCTGACTGGCAGCATGACGGCCTGGTACGGCAGCTGCACCGACCTCGATCGTAAGGCTTTACAGAGGGTGGTGAAAACTGCACAGCACATCACCAGGACGGAGCTGCCATCCATGGAGGACCTTTACTCCCAGCGGCTCAGGAAGAAATCACTACGGATTATCAAAGACCCCCATCACCCCAGCCACAAACTGTTCTTTCTGTTGCCGTCTGGCAGACGTTACCGCAGCATCCTGGCAAGGACAAGAAGATTCGGAGACAGTTTCTTCCCGCGGGCAGTGAGACTGTTAAAAAATTGAACTGTTGAAACAACATCAAACATTCAACTGCTACTCAGTAGTATGTATCTAATACCTAATATATATATATCATTCCAATAACTTGTATATAGACTCATACTGCACTATTCCACATCATAACTTTATTTCATTTTTATAACTATTATTATTTTTGTATTGCTCATGCTCTTATTGTTATTATGTTATGTTATTATGTTGCATTGTTGGAGAAGCCTGTGACATAAGATTTTCAACTGCATAATTACTCTGTAGCTATGTCAGATTGACAATAAAGAACCTTGAACCTTGAACCTTGAAATACATGGGTCTGGGGTAGAGATCTTCAGAATTGGTTTGGCCCGCCGCTGTGTCAACTCGTGGCTCAGCACATGTCTTGTGAATTCTCCGGCCGAAGCTCCAAATAAAACGTCAGTGTTTATTAATTGTTGTATTACTATGTTAATGCTGCACTAATACACCAACATTCTACATGAAAACCTACATGGAAGATTTTCCAAAGAGAAAAAGCTAACTATATTAGGTTAGTTGAAAGCAATACTATTAAGTTTAAAGAAAAAAAAAATATTAGGTTCAACTTAAAAGTATTGCTTTCAGCTAACCAAATAGTTATGTGAAATTAGTTGACACAATACATTTAATTAAAGTCAACGTCTCTTCGCTGGCCTGGGAGCGCCTTGGGATCCCCCAGTCAGAGCTGGTTGATGAGGCCAGGGAAAGGAACGTTTGGGGCTCTCTGCTGGAACTGCTACCTCCGCGACCTGACCACGGATAAGCGGGAGAAGATGAGCGGATGGATGGTTTCAGTTTTTACAGTGTGAGATTTGCTCAGAGCGTCACTCGGCTTTCGGATTTGAAGCTGATTTAAGCAAAGAAGGCACAAGGATAACACAGGTTATCGCCTTATCAGCTAATAAGTGAACTCTCCAATTTGCGGCCGCCTACAGGACGGGGCTGGCTGTGATCAGAATCCTGAGAGGGGATTAATGCATGCTGATATTTTTAGGTTTTACTTCAGAGCCCTCAGAAACTCTTTCTGCTTATATAAAGCCCTGAGAACATGTAGGAAACATTTGGGAATTTCTTCTCGGAAACTGTAAGTAAATTCAGATGGCTGAAACCAACAATTTGTAGAAAAAAATCACAGACAAACAATTTAAAAGACATATATTTTAATGTATTCAAATGATGCAGGATTGAAAGACATTTCTGCTTTACATGTCACACTCCTATAGTATCAACTCCTCTCATATATATATTTACAAGAACATGTATCATATATATATTTTTTAAATCTTAATAACAATAGCTTTAAAAACTCAACACAGTTTGAGATCTGGACATTTAAAAATAGTTACCCTGAGACAAGTAAAACAAGACTTACAAGGATTTTCTTTTCTCTCTAACCCGAGTCTCTACTCAGCTCAATGACGAGTCTTTTTCAGGATCATTCTAGTCTGAGTGATTCACACTCGTCTCAAACTAAATAAAACGCTCTGAAGCAGGGCTGCAACTATCGATTATCAAAATAGTTGGCGTTTATTTTTCTGTTGATTTCCTTATGGATGCACCTCGACCCTGAAGTGTCACAGTGTTTTAGGGGCAACCTGCACATTCCTGGTACAGGAACTTATTCTCCAACTCCTCTACATGTTTCTCCTGCACACATTCTTCAGGGCTAAAACGTCCCCATGTCTCACTAAGTTGAGCCTCATAGCACCAACAGTAGAGGGAATCAGTGAAGAGTTCGGTATTGTTTTCTTACTAATAAATACTATATTTTAGATGACTTACATCTTTGCCCTGTGCATAGATAGATAGATACTCTTTTTCTTATATACAATACATACAATTGTTTAAAAAAAAAAAAAAAAAACGACCACTTTGATGTCAATGCAGTGGTCAATCTTAATTATGAGGTTTAGGATCAAAAAAAGTTTAATATTAAATACTAAAACTATCTTTGCCATGTTCTTAATCAGCACTTTTCACTGTGTAAACATTGTGATGGCATCAATAAAGAACACAAGACTGATTGTTATAACTGGTATACGACATCGAACATCTCACAGCAATATACACGTGCCCGACTTCTTCTCGTCATCGGGGTCTCCTCCTCCGCCCGCTTTTCTGTTGGGGTCGTTGAGCTCGTCAAACAGTTTAGTCTCGATCATCTCCGTCTGCCACTGAATGGGTACAGCGCCTGTGCCAAACTCCTTGAAGAACTTATTGTCATTGGCGTCAAACTCTATGCCCTTGATCTCGGAGAATTCTGCGATGTCGTCGGTGTCCTTGGCGTAGACGACGTTGGGCTTGGGCACCCATGGAGGATCCACCAGCCCGGCCTCCAGACGGGGGAAGTTGATGGTCTGGAACCACACGTGCTTCCTGGGATCCTCCAAGTTGTTCCTGGTAAGAAAGTAAAAAGTATTCTTTCAGACTGAATCAAGAACACTGGCTGCACGGGTTTAGACAACATG